AATCACATTTGTTGCACATCTGCAGCAGCTGAATCACTGTTGCTAAGTAGCAATTATTGCAATTCTAATGGCATGGTTTCTTTTCCATTAATTACTTTTGCCTAATGACAATTGTTACAGTTCTCATGGCACGGTTTCCCTTCCACTCGACACCTACATCCACCACTGATGTCCCCCACACCCTACAGTAAACAGTTCATTTTTCAACACTTTTTACCTTTAATAAATATTAAGGCCAAATAAAAAAATATGTGTGGTTCCGGTTACCCGACCTTCCCTAGTTTATACCCCCGACCCTAAACTTTTTTTTTGGCAATTTTCATATTTTTTCCGGAATTTTCCCCGATTTCCATCAATGGCAGTTTCAGCAATGACGGTCTCCTTGCAAAACATAGTTTAATAGTGTTAAATCCAAAGCAAACTAGCATGTAGGTGTCCCCTACCAATATTGACTAGTATATTATCACACCACATCTAAATGCCATTTGCAAAGCAGTGATAGGTATTATTTCTAAAGAAAAAAATTAAGAAAATCATTTTGTTAAAAAAAAAAAAAAAAAAAAAAAAAAAAAAAAATCCCTACCTACCTACCCTAATTTTTATGGAGGTGTAACCGGAACCAGACATATTTTTTTGTTTGGCCTAAGGATTTTTTGTCTTCAATATTTTGCAACTAATTCATACCTTTTAATACTAGTATTTTATTACATGTACCAGAGAAATTTGCACCTTAAACTTCAATGAAGAATTTAAATAAATGCTACAAAAAGAGAGGATTCCTACCAGAGGTCCCCATCTTGGCCCCTTTGTGACCCAGCAGATTTCAGTTTTACAGATGGAACACTTAATCCAATCACATCCGTCCTTCTTCTGTACCACCACTTCACATTTAGGGCACTTCATGGCATCTCCTTTCTTCAGCAAATCCTACAACAGAATCATGGTCCTGTGAAATCATTAATTTTAGTGGGGATTTATTTTTGTTGTTTTTGTGGCATGAAGAGACCCACGAATTCCACAACCATGTAAAATTTCAAAATAAATAACAACTTAGCACTTTTTCATCCACAAAATCAAATCCCCAGAAATCAATATTTTTTCCTCAAACCATGAAAATTTGACCCCACAAGAATATATGATTTTACAGTAAACTAGCCATTTTTTTAAATGGCCCAGAAAAATACATAATATTTTTTGAATTTTATATATATGATGCGAGTGTTATAACTCTGTTTTATTTCTAAGACATGGGGTGTTTAATGCATAACTCATCAGGAAATGACAAATATACAAAGAAGATAAATTGCTGGCAGGCATTACCTTGAGCATTTTATTGGTTTGCTTGGCTGCCTTGTCATTGGAGGAGCGGATTCTCAGGTCCTCCTGATACTCTTTACAGTTCATGCCCTCATGTATTGCCTTACAGGTTAGACAGTTCTCCTTGTTACAAACTGGACACTTGAAGAAGTTGACCAGGTCCTCATAGATACACCAGCCATGACAGTCGTTTGTTTTACAGTGGAAACTGTTTTGCTCCTGACTCTCGGCCGTCACCAGACTCCGCTGAAGGTGCTTCTCATACACGCTGACCTCCACCAACTGTCAAGGTCAAACAAACAAAAATATTCCTGTTCTTAGTGTCGTCAAATAGAAATACGTACAATGTAATTTCCAATTTTTCATTTAGCCCTATGCTTCTCATCAAAATGCTAAAGCTTTTTACTTATTTATACTTTCCTTTTGTAGAAGATCTATAAACCAAAGCATTTAGTGATTTTCTAATTAGCTATACAGGTACATGTACATGTATATATAGAATGTGACTTTTGTAACAGATACTGACTGCTTTAATTTCTCTGTCCTGAAGGGAGGCGTTACAAGCGTAGTGATCATCCTGATACGGACAGCGAAGATCTGCCTCCTCACTGTGGACCACTGCCCCCTGTAGGCAGTCCCTGTATCACCAAATATAGAAACACATTAAAATATGGTCAAAGATAGTACCATGTATATACAGTGAAACTTGTCTTATCTGGATGTTGTGTAATCCGAAATCGTGTCTAATACGGTGTAAACTTTAAGTCCCTTGCTGTAAATTCAATTGTTTTAAATGTTGTCTAATCCAAGATGTTGCCTTATCCAGCCAATTTCTTTGGAACCAGTGGTGTCCGGATTAGACAAGTTTTACTGTACAACACTTTATTCCTCAGTTAATGGAGATATTGTGGTACTTACTTGAGTAATTCTCAGACACAATGTGAGGAGTATTTTACCTGCAGAATGAGTGAAGACACTCCCTGAGAACGACCCCATTTCCAGGTGAGATGTCATCAAAACAGATGGGGCACTGGAAGGACTGAGAATTACCAATTAAACTGCTGTCTTCAGCTTTCATTAAAATCTCAAAATTCTCCTGTCTGAGCCTCCTCTCCTGGTCCTCCCGCTCTTGTTCCAGCTAAATAGAGACATTACATACAAGTTCAGTGTACAGTACAACTCGGTTATAAGGAAGTCATTTAGTCAGTAATTCAATTATAAGGAAGTCATTTAGTCAGTTAATTCAGTTATAAGGAAGTCATTTAGTCAGTAATTCAATTATAAGGAAGTCATTTAGTCAGTTAATTCTGTTATAAGGCAATCATTTAGTCAGTAATTCAGTTATAAGGAAGTCATTTAGTCAGTTAATTCGGTTATAAGGCGTCATTTAGTCAGTAATTCGGTTATAAGGAAGTCATTTAGTCAGTTAATTCTGCTATAAGGCAGTCATTTAGTCAGTTAATCTGTTATAAGGCAGTCATTTAGTCAGTAATTCAGTTACCGTATATACTCGCTTCTAAGTCGGATTTTTAGGAGTTAAACTTTGGTCCAAAAACCCCTCTCCGACTTATAGGCGAGTTATAAAAATACTGGTATTATATCGGGTCAATCCCCTTAATGTAAGCTTAAAAAATACAACTGACTTATAGGCAGACCGACCTATAGGCGGACCAACCTATAGGCGAGTATATACGGTATAAGGAAGTCATTTAGTCAGTAATTCTTTTATAAGGAAGTCATTTAGTCAGTAATTCTGTTATAAGGAAGTCATTTAATCAGAAATTCAGTTATAAGGAAGTCAGTGGGACTTCAAATTTTACTTCCTTATGATAGAGATTCCCTAAATCCGTATCAGGAATACACTAGTAGTGAAAAGTCCCCTAAGAAATTCATTAAAAATTCCTTACAACCCAAGATTTTTTTCGAACCAAGTTTTACTGTAAATGATCGGAAGACCAAGCTTTACATATTCTTGAACAAATTACTGGATATTAATGATCACATTTTAAAAATTATTTTGCAAAATAAAACCCCACATGAGATATTCTTTAGATTGCTTAGAATTATTACAAACTATATTGTACACAATCTTTGTTTTCTTTATTTCACAAAAATAATCCAGGAGTAAGACATGGTACACAAAAACTCCCAATTTAGGCTATGTACAGGATAAGACCTTTGTTTTAAATAAACAAACATTTTCATCATGAACTCCCTGGGCATCATGAAATGCTCATTTTCTAGGAATTAACCTCATGCAGGATTCATCACAAAAATAAAGATATATGTAAGCTTTACAACCATGCATTTAACATTCTCACTTGTCATTTCCAAATGAAAAAATCTCTGCATTCTGTTTTTGGGTCACCTGAGTCACTAAGTTGACCTATTGCTATCTGATTTTGTCCATCATCATTCGTCATGCAAATTTTCTTCTCCCCTTGTGTATATTGTGCAGACAAACTAAGTTCATAGTTATGATGAGCAAGGGTGCATCTACTCAAATTGTAAAATTTTTGGCCCCCAGGTTAGGTTTCTGGTGTTAGGGTGCGGCTCTATTGATCATTTTGTGAACATGGATTGTTTTGCTCCTGGGTACTAAGCAGACAAACATAAAGTATGGTAATGACGGGGCCTCTTCCAAAATTGTGAATTTCATGGCCCCAGGGTCAGGGGTTCTGGTGTTAGGGCGGGGCTCTATTGATTATATAGTGAAAATGCATTTATTCTTTGAAAATCTTCTCTGCTCCCGGGTATTACTTAAACAAACTAAGTGCATGGTTATGATGCACAAGGATGCCTTTTACAGAATTGTGAATTTCATGGCCCCTGGTCAGGGGTTCTGGTGTTAGGTTTGAGCTCTATTGATCATATAGTGGAAATGCATTTATATTTTGAAAATCTTTTCTGCTTCTGGGTAATGGCCAGGCAAACCAGGTACAAACATGTAGTTGTAATGAACAAGGGTGTTTTTACCAGATTTGTTAAAGCAATATGAGCTGCAACTTTGATGTCGGAAATTTTTTGTTGCAAAATTGTACTTACCAGTAATTTTTTCAATGACAGAAAAAAAGAATGTTTATAAACTTCCATTGTTCATATTTATGATGGAAGAACTATCTATAGGCTTTGACTGAAGCAAAATTACATTATTGTTGTCCTGTACGATATTGATTTTTTATATAATACTATATATTCCATTGTACAGAAATCTTTCTTCTGAAACAATTTAACACTTTATTTTAGTCCAATTGATCATGAAAGTTTAAGTCACATACAGATTTATCATAACAGCACATTTCAACAGAAAACAAAATTTTAAAAAAATGCATCTCATATTGCTTTTAGTTCATTGTCCCTGGGTCAGGGGTTCTGATGCTAGGGCAGGATATATCCAATGCTCATCTTCATCACAAAAATATCCCTAATCTCCCTTTGATATGAAGAATACAACTAGTTCTTCTGTTTTCAGTATGTGGATCCAATATACAGAATGGTACTCTTCTTTTACAAGTAACATTCAGCCAAATCAATATGTCTGTCTTTTACAATCAATGGAAATATTGAATAACAGTTACTTTTTGAAATCCCACTCTTTCTGAATAGGTGGCAAACCATACATGGGTTAAAATTCCCACAAGTATATTCTCTGTTATTTTCAGAGAATAAAATTTACAAAGAAAAAAAATAGATTTTTTAATGTTGCACTGTAGATCTTTGCTATGACAGAAAACATTTTTTGAAGATACCAGTACATTACTGTTATGTATTCATAAAATATAGAACATACATGAAAATTCTGTATAATGTGTAATTTTATGTTAGGGTAGTGATTTCATTCAATCTGCAATTCAAATGATATACCGGTAGTATTGAAATATTAATTTTTTTTTATTTCTTCTTCTTATTTTTTTTAACAAAACTTGACTTGCAATTGGGCACTTGCAAAAATTACCTTCTTATACATTAACTACAAAACTACAATAACAAATCTAACACTAGACTATCAACATCAACCAAAAAAATATGTATAGAAATGATACATCATGTATAGAAATGATACATCACCAAGTGTAAAAATCCATATACAGTGTAATATTTTCTTTGGAAGGCAATAATATAATGCATATTCAGTAAGCTTTCATGCCTACTAAAAAATATGACCTCTGCTTGCAATAAAAACACAGAAAATATCTCGGAATTTCGGCAAATCAGAGTTTGATTTAAAATTGGCAGTATCATTGCAAAAAATAAAAACATAAGGCCAAAAAAAAAATCATATATCCCCCATCATCCTAGATATTTGTCTTATATATGTTCTTCATTCCAGTCTATATGTCTATTGTCCAGAGGAAATTGTAAATTGTCCATTGATCCTCTATGGACATTTCCCAGTTCCATCATATAAGGGTCAGGGGGTGGCCCGTGGGGTGGGGTGAGGGCATTCTCTGTCGGGGATCTAATTCTGGCAGCCCTGTTTAAATTATCATTCAATTCCAAGATGGCTGCCAGGTCCTGATCCTCAAGGTCACCATAATACTCCTCGTCAGTATTTTCTCTTGGACCCCTCTCCTGACCTCTGTTCACGCTGGCCTGGAAAAGTGTCAAAGAGAAAAGCCTGAACAAGGTGTATGATAACTACATGATACAGAAATGGCACAGAAAATCTGTGTTTTATACAACACCAATTCCTTAAATAAGCATATACTTCTGTGCAATAAAAAAGATACTTTTATGCATTTTCTGCAAGTAAACCTCAAGCTTAAGACTTTGTCACCTAATTAAAATTATCCCCCACAGAATATTTTTTGAGTCAAGTTCCTGAAATTAAGGAATTCATGAATTTTGCTACCCAGTACATAATTAAAACCTTTCTCTTAAAGACCTACCCTTTGAGTCTGTTCCTCTTGCTCACGCTCCCTCTGGATCCTCTCCTCTTCTTCTTTGGTCATTCTATATCCTTCAGGAACTTGATAGTCCAGTGGTCTGTTTGTAGCACAAATCTCACAACCTGGTCGTGTTGGCTGGTTAATGTAAGTACAGGCAGGGCAAACCCAGCCAGCCTAATTCAGAAAGCAAGAAATAGGGGACATGACAAATAGATATGTGCACATAACATTCAAAGCAGTCAAGGAATCCTTAATTCTTAAAAGTTTTCAACTTCATAAACACACAAGCTATCTGGTTCATTATAAATTTGCACTAGATACTGTAAACAGTCTTTATTATCCCCTAGCAATGAAGTTGGCAGGAATATAGAAATGCACTTGTGTGAATGTGGGTGAATATGTACATAATAATTTATATAGGGATTGATATGTGTTTTTGCGTGGGAATGCTCATGTTGTGGTGCCCTTTTTTAATGTAGTTTAACTTTCACTGTAAATGACACTGCTATATAATCGGTCCTATGGAAAAAAAATGTCTGACTCAAAATGGAGCTTAAAAGATTTTCCAAACAAAATGCAAGAATAATCTTGAGCATAACCATGGATTATACAGTACTTTTTAAAAACATGGCAAACATAAACAATACAAACATTAGGAAATGTCTCTGCTAATACTGGAAGTACCTGAATTTTGGTCTCCTGTTTGTTCTGAGGTTGGGGGATATCTCTGAGGACAGCGGTCGGGGGAATCACTTCAAACCCTTCCACTGACCCCTCTCTGATGACCTGTGGAGGAGCCTTTGGTTTATTCTGACCATCCCTGGACTTCTGTTGCTGTATCTGACCTTGTTGGCAAGGGTTTGGGGTTAAGCCTCCCCCTGTAGAACTGCTGCTGTAGGGCTCAGATCTCTGTCGGGCACTGAGAGGGGTCTGGGGAGTCACAGGAGTACCCATTGGAATGTAAGCTGCACATAAAATGAATTTTTCATAACTGTTGTCTTTACATTGGGGGTTAGGACTCTTCGATTTGGTTTTTAAGCAATAAGGGCAAACACACAGATAGCTAGAGTCATACAGGGTTCCATTGTAATATGATGTATCAATAAATCTAGACCTTTATACATGTATCCTGTACATTTCATAAGTGGTATTAAAATCTCTTGGGGTCTATTTTAATTCAGTAGTGATTAAGAAGGCTGCATGTTGAAGTATGCTCATTTTTTTTGTACCAAATAAAAGTGTGATGCTGTAAAAATGTACCATTTTGAAATTACACTCATTTTTTGTACCATATAAAACGTGCAAAATTATGATGCTTTAAAATACTATTTTGACCTTAAGGATACACCAAAGACTTTCTTCAAGATTTTCAACAATTTTGAGATTTTTGGCTAAGAAAAAGAAGTTAATCACTGCTTTATAATGCATGTAAAATTCTTGGTAATTATGAAATGGTTTTCTAATTATTTAACAATAATGAAACATAAACACTACCACATGTGAATGTTCCCTTATTGAAGCTTCTGATTTGATCTGTGACTGTCTGCTCATGAGAGATGCAATAAATTACTGTGACCACTTGGGGAATTCTTCCCTAGCCACACAGCAGTTATCAGTAATTAAACTACAGGGACTCTAGATTTCAAGAGAAAGAGATCTAACAGATCACTGATGACCATAAAATAGGAGGTGGAGCTTAGCTCTTGCCATTTTGCCGGGAAATCTTTCTGATTCAGAATTGAACCTATTTTACTTAATTAAAAGCATCTAAATACAGAAAAGAACCTCCATTCTTGTCAAATATGCATAGGAAATATGGCTAAGTGACAGGTATCCAAAGCTGAATCTCCAAGGTGTCATATATTCCTAGCTTTGGCAGATTTTGTTGTGTAATGGGTTTTTGCCCTCTACTGTAATGTAAGATCAGACAAGTTTGTGGTATAATTTCAAAGGATTCAGCTCCCTTATTTATTGACCAATTCCTCTGAAAATTGGATGGGTTGCTTCTCAAATGTGTGTTCACAAAACCGTATCTCAGATTTTTGATATCTAGCTTAGTTTTGGAATTATTGAGGGAAATGTTAAATTAGGCTAATAAATTTGTACCATTGAAGTGCAAATGGCTGTATCTTTTTAATTAAAAGATCTATCAAAAATCTGAGATACAGTTTTTAAGTTCAATCTTTAATCTACCTTGAGGCAAAATGATAACTTTAAGGGGTTAAACACCTTGATTTATAAAATATTTATGCACTAAAATTTACATTAATATTTAAATAATTTTTAAATAAGTTATTGATTAAAGTATAAATTAGGATAATTAAATAGTAAATTTAACAAGCTTTCAAATGATATATACTTTTATTATGTTATCAATAATAATGAAAGAATTACATGTAAATTAAATTCTGGCATTCGGAAACCTTTGGTGTATCCTTAACCTTTGAATGAATTACCTCAAAAGCTGTTGGTGTCTTAATTTCCTCTAACAATTATTCACCTAGTTGTAGGGGAAATGTTCTTTTTTTTTTTTTAATATATACCTGAGTAACTGGTACTGCATCATTTAAATACTGTAAATAATTTTCATGGTTTGAGAAAAAAAAATATGGTTTGAGAGGATTTGATTTTTTGGTTGAAGAAGTGTTGATTGTCACACATTTGAAACTTTACATTTCGTGGGGGACACAAATTCTTGGGTCTCTTAATACCACAAAAACAACGAAAATTACCCTCAATGAAAATTAGTGATTTCACAGCAAGTAACATCCATATCAATAGTCTTAACCCTTACACCTTGATCTTTACTCAAAAAAGTCTTCTTCCTAACAAATCTTATCTGTGTAGAAAGATAAAATAACATTGTATCCAAAAAAAAAAATTAATAGCCAAAATAATGTATCACAATGGTCCTTTATACAACATTGACCTCTGACTTTTGGTATTTAGCCAATAATTTTACAAACTAAAGGTATTACTAAGTATTCTCCACTACAAAGTAAATATGAAGTTTACAACTTGTTCTCATTAATGCTTCAGAATTTGTCATATCAATTATCTCTCTGTTTGAGTGACCAACTGACCCCCAAATCAGTAGATATCCTCATTTATTCATTCTCTACCTACATACTACAAATGAATTCTGTAGATTACAAAAATGCTTCAGTTATTGCATCATAATGGTCATATAAATAATTGAAAGCTTTTACCATGACCTTTGAACAAGTGACCTTAAAAAATGTATGGGTATCTTTTTTTCATCTATGTAATAAAATGAAGCCTGTATGTTGAAAGTTGTCATGTCACTTAAAGTGTTGATAGATAGACTGGTGAATACTATAGGGCACCTGCATCATGATGTGGGGCCCTAAATAAATCAATTTATTACATTTAAGTAGTGATATACTGTAATTAATCCACTGAATAAAAGTGATATGTTTCTCCGTGAAAAATATCAACAGTAACATTTTTCACTTTCAAAAACATCAAACTCTTGATTTTCAAGCCCTTCATTAAGATTGTTATCAAGAAAATACTCCCTGTTCTACGACAGCATGAGTTAATAAACCATCCTGACATGGTCTAAAACTGTCAAAGTTTCTCCAAATTGTTGTTAATATCCATATTAGTTTTACAATTTTCAATCTCACAATCGCTTAGCTATGTTGTCTCACAACCGCTCAACTTTGACATCCCAGTCCATGACACTGGGTAACCATAAGACAGAGAGAAAAGGAAAGTCAAAGAAAATGTAATAAAAAGAAAATATTCAATGTTTTTTCAGTTGGATATGGAATTTACTTCATTCGTGAAACAGAATTCTTTCGCACTCATGAAAACATCAAAAAGTCCTGTCCACTCATAAAAAAAAAAACAAAATTCATATCTAAGGATTAAACATTGAATATCCTCTGTATATTCTTACGTCCACTCTCAGCAAAGTTTGTGGGTCCCTGCTTTTGATACTGAACACTTGGAGCTGCAAAATGAAAAATACCAAAACCTTCAAGCCTTCAAAAATACATTTGTGTTCCAAGCATTGAAAATTTTCCAAAGAAATCAGAAGCACTAAGATAATCCTTTAATTAAATAATTACAAAATATACAATGCATAATAAACTATAGCTCTTTAAAGTAATCACACATAATTTTAAAGCACATCTATGTACCCCTGATTCTGTACTAAAACACGACTCACGCTGGTTATGAAGCATTTTTTGCCTGTCCTCCATGAACTTCTCCTTGGTCAGTCCAACAGATTTCGGTGAGATAAGGTATAAATAAACCGCCTGACCTTGGCTTACTCGAGCCTTCTGGAGTGTTTCAGTGTCCGGGGGAATACGCTTCCCTATGATCCATTTTTGGACCTCCATTGGAAAACTGTGCTTCAAACACATCTGTTCAAAGAGGGAAATTTTACTTTAATTTCAAGCTAGCTTACAGCTGTGAATTTGCATGTTCCTTAAATCTTAAATCTAAACAAAAAACTAGAAATATGTCCATAGGACATGAATGTCCCACCCAGAGTTCATTAATAATGCAACATGAAAATTTGTGTTAGTGTATGAAGTTTCATGAAAACATCTTGAATAGTTTCTTTAAAACTAAGTTTTATACACAATAAATAGTAAAGTCAAAGGTCACTGGGAGGTCAAGGTAAAAAAAAAAATTGGACACAGTTGTTAAATTCTCACCAAATAATGTATCAGTTCATAAGCTTACATAGAAAAAATCTTGAATAGTTTCTTTCAACTGAGCTACACACAAATTTAAGAAAACTGAGGTCAAGGTCAAAGTAAAGGTCAAGGTAAAAAATACTGATGCAATTAAATAGCCCTCATCAATATATGATATACAATGCATAAGCAAATGATAATAATATCTTAAATAGTTTCTTTGAAATTAAGCTATACAAAAATTTGAAGTCAAGGTAAAGAATGTTGATGCTATGAATAGCTTTCATCAATATGTATAAGCATATAAAGATTGATAAAAGTGTATTGAATAGTTTCTTTGAAATTTAGCTGAACACAAATTTGAAGTCAAGGTCAAAATGTTGCTGCAGTTGAATAGCTCGCACCAATATGTATCAACATATTAGATTTGATTAAAATATCTTCATCAGATTCTTTGAAACTGAGCTAAACACTATTTTGAGAAAAGTGAGGTCAAGGTCAAGAAATGTTGATGCAGTTAAACAGCTCTCATCAACATGCATAAGGATATAAGGTTTGATAAAAATATCTTAAGTTTCTTTGAAATCGAGATAATCACTAATTTAAGAAAGTACGGTCGAGGTCAAAGGAAAGGTTAAGGTGAAAAATTTTGATGCAATTGAATAGTTCTCATTAATATGTATCAGCATGCATAGTTTGATTAAAATATTTTGAATAATTTTTTGAAACTTAGCTGAACATAAATTTAGGAAAAGTGAAGTCAAGGTCAAAGGAAAGGTCAAAGTAAAAAAAGGTTGATAAAGTTGAATAGTTCTCATCAGTATGTATCAGCATATAAGGTTTGATAAAAATATCTTGAAAACTTTCTTTGAAACTGAGCTAACACTAATTTAAGAAAAGTGAGGTCAAGGTAAAAAAATTTTGATGCAGTTGAATAGCTTCCATCAATGTGTCAGCATATGAAGTTTGATTTTAAAAAATCTTGAATAGTTTCTTTGAAACTGAGCTAAATGCAAAATGTGACAGAAGGACAGAAGGCCAGAAAGACGGATGATGGAAGGACGGAAGATGGACATGACAAACACTATATGCCTTGGCCATATTCATGGAGGAGTCATAAAAAAATGCTAAAGACAATGACTTTTTTTTAGTGTACCTATACATTTTTTAAACTGTTTTATAGATTAAGAACAGTATGTGAGTACTTGTATTACCAACCCTTAGTTTGAGATCCTTGACTGTGTCGGAGGGTTTGACATTCAGAGTAATACACCCTCCAGAAGCTTCCCTGTCCTCTACATACACTTTAATACTGTAAAATGTAAAGTAAGCATACATCTCAATCAAAAAAAAGAGTACCAAAATTATACACCTATTTACTGTCTTTTGGACAATAGCAAGTTTATTGTCCCCCAAGAAAGCAACTTTTTCTTGGGGCGCAACTTTGTTTTCAAATCTTAATTAAGGTGATTTGAATTTATTTAGGTGAACATATACATAAAAATGGAGATCGTTGTGTGGGTGTCATTTATCAGGAAAAGGAAGTACACCTGAATGTGAGCAGGAAGGAGTTTTGCAAACATGATGATTTCAATGTCTAAAGCAATTAAACGCCAAAAATTATACAGAAATGAAAATATTTCATAATATACCGATAGACTAAATAATATTTGCATGAATTAATTACATTTATATGCCATTTTTTTTAAACACGTCACCTGAATACAAAATTTCCTTCTTTCATAGCTGTACACAAATACTATCTGCATGCATGCATTTTCCCCCTTCTTAACAGACTGGTTCTTGCTCCTTCACTTTTGCATGCCTCATGTTATTACTTTTAAGGAGTTTAAAGTTCATCTTATGCTACATCATTTATATCATTATTGGTTATCACAGTGTGAGTCAATAAATCTGCCTAGTTACCTGAATTCTTTGTCTTTAGGGTTCTTCAGGCTACTGCTATCTAATGTAATGGTCACCTTGGCAGCACTGACTGCTAAACTCCCAGCATGCTTTGCTGCGGCTTCTTTATCATTTGAATTAATGGCTGCCTGCAGCATCTCTACCAGTCTCTGAATGGCTTTTTCTTGGTCCATCATATCTTCATAATCACCGCTATCACTTTCATAAAAACTGGAATCTCTTTCTATCTCTGCCTTTAGAGATTGAGGAGAAAGCACATGTTGAGGCTGAAAAACACTCAAGTATTTGGCAGCTTCAATGCTGTATGGTTTTATTGTTAGTTCTAAATCATTGCTCTTTGATTCTGATTTATTTGCTTGCACAACATCGCCAAATAATTTTGATTTAGTGTCAATCAATTTAAAATTGGCAGGAGAAAATGGAGGTTCAAACACATCTGATTCTGATTCACTTCTTTTTACAGGACGAGAGACTAGATTTTCTTGAGTATTTACAGTTGGAATGTTAGAACTATCCTTCTCTGGGATTTCCCCCTGGGACTGTGTTCTTTGAAGACTTTTATCTTCCTTGTTCTTCTGGTATAAATCACTGTCAGTATGTTTTATAAATATATCTCCTACACCTCTTTCCTCAGACTTTAATGCCTCTGTGTCTTGTCTCTTTTCTTGTGGTGATTCACTTTTATTAGACTCTAGCTCAGATTTATTGCTTGCAGTCCTCTTAGACTGAAATGCAACAAGTTCATACACTACAAAAGAAAAAAAAATCTTAATTTCTGTTTAACTTCAGGGTACTTAAAATTATGGAATCTCTAATAAATCACCATACTTCATTCAATATGTTATTTACAGACCTTTTGAATGCACTAAACTTTACTGAACAAGTAGTTGTAAGCCAAGGACTATATAATAATGGAATTTATTACACATATCCTTCTGTTTGTCAAATTACAAAAAGGTGGTCTTTATTTTGTTACTTAACTTTACCTGTAGCATGCTCTGCTACTCAAGCAATCCAACTTACCTTTGAAAAATCTAGAACTATTTTTTTACTTACATGTAACTCTAGATCTGACAAAATCTAACTTTCTAATTGAAGAGTTAATTTGTAAATAAATATTTTAGTGTATTTAGAACATGATGTAACTGATTTAAGGAAGAATGTCCCTGTGTTTGTGATACACACCTTGATAAAGATTTTCCTTGGTTCTGAGACACTCTTTGAGGAAGGTGACCCGTTCCTTTAGAAGAGAGGAGAACTCCTTCCAATGTTTGTCATCCTGGCACAACTTAATTGTTGTATTGTGATTCCGATTACCAAGGTGACTCCAAAACTCAAACCACGAGTCACTTTTCACAAACACCCTTAGAGTATCTTTAGTGATGTTGTTCAATGTGATAGACAGTTTAATCTGAAAAATACAATTGTTCCTGGTGAAAATTTTTGCTTAAAATAAACATTGCAAAAAATTTTTAATAGCACTTATTTTGGGGGGTACCGATTGCTCAGAACTATAAAAGTCCATGGCCAGAGATTTTCTCTTGGAATCTTGTGGAGATGTCAGCAGGTACAAGTCACATAGACCCCCATGTGGGTGGAGAAGCTGATCCCTCTTTCTAACCCTCTCCAGAGTTCCGTGCCCCATCTGATTCACCTCTGGGAGGGGAACATAAATCTCACAGGTAGTCACACAAAGAATCTCTCTACCACTTAACTGTCCATGGCTCAGGTGAGTTTGTGTATCCACCTGTCCAGTGGGTGATTGCTCCATGATATGCGTATTTCTAAATCAAGACATATCTCTTGAGTAGTCACACTACCTATTTATGTGTTTAGTAAAACAAGTGCTGGATTTCCATTTAAAGCCAAGGAATAGCTCAATCAAAATCACCCCATCATTCTGTCCTTTAAAAACTCCTAACATCATATAGCATCAAAAAGTAAACAACATTTTAACTTCCTGGATTAAAAATAGCTAACACTTAATTTAAATATATACTGTATATTTATATATATATCTGATCGAAAAATTCCGTCCTGACATAAAAAGAACATGATAAGACTTGGACATCAAATTTTATTATACAAAAAATTTCATATGTGGTCTAGATTCATTTTACAACACCTGGCAAGAGATCAAAGTATACATTATTTATACTCCTTTCTTGCAATAATTTTTTCATCTGAAAGAGCAGAAACTTTACCCTAAAGATTTTAACAGCTCAGCAAAAGAGCAAGAAATACAATAGATTTTAATCAACAAAAGCTAAAAAAAAAAATACAAAACCCCCAGTACCTGAAATTGGTCTGGTCTTATTTCTGACTAATTCACACCCAGCATGTTTGAAAATATATACAAGATACTTCAATGTACAATTTCCACTTGAATTCCTTGCTTACAAACTCATTTCAGTATGTGCAACCTCTACGAAGAAAATGAACGGAAACTGTTGGTAAACCGACATACAGACAGACAGACATTTTTCTAAGTCCAAGGGGCATAACTCTGTCAAAAATTGCTCGATCGTACTCAAAACAGAACTTGACCTAGATATTCTTATGATAAATCTGTATATCAAATTTCATTTCAGTATGTTCAACCTCTGCGAAGAAAATGAACGGAAACTGTGGACCGACAAACCGACCGACCGACAGACAGCAGCAAAGCAATATGCCCTTCCTTCTTCGAAAGGGGGAATAATAACCAGAACAATGTGTCCAGCAACTTTGAACCTGATCTCATTATCAGAGGCTATAGACTCAATCATTGTCATTAGGAAATCAGGCCTCCATTTTGGCAAAATGATGATTTTTCTCAGTGGATATTAGGTACATAATGTTTTGATGCCAATTTTAAGAAATGAGAAACCTAGATAGGTACCATTTTAATTTGGTAACAAAAATGGTTCATTGACATCATGAATATTTGTAAATTTCAAATCATTGCACACTTATTCCCATATTAAATGAATGTAGAATCAAAATCATAGGTAGCATTAAATTTTGTAAATTTAAATCATATTATCATGTAGTATTAAATTTTGTATCATTGTATCTTAATTCTTGTAATTTTTTAAGTTCAACTCCAGTGGATCTGGAGAAGAAGATGAAAACATGAAAAGTTATGACAGACAATGGACAGCCTTCAGCTCAGGTAAGCTAATAAGCATTGCATTCTCAGTGGTATAGCTATTAAGCTAAAGTGCAAAGTTTATTGACATGAATCATCAGGTCTGCTAGGGTCTCCTAATGGGTCTAGGTAAAGCCTTGGTGGGGGTCCAGGAGGCTAAGCCCCTGGGAGCTTCTGGGTTCTGGCAATTTGAAAGTAGGACTTTTTTTTTTTTTGCTATAAAAAACATAATTTCAAAATTGTATCAGAGTATTTCAGCATTGTTATAACAATTAGATCACAACCATGATAGTAATATTACAATTTGGGATATCCAGGGAAATAAATGAACTGTACACTATTATATAATTTCAAACAAACAACCTCATGTTCACCAATGCAATGTTTTAAAAATTATGCAACATTTTGTTTTAGCATTGATTTTAATATATTTTAGATTATCTAAAAAAAAAAAAATGGATTAAAAATCTATGATAAGTGTTTCTTTTCAAATTGTAATTTAATCGAGATAACTACTAAATTCAGCTTAGTCTTAAATTTATACATCTATTTTTAAATGGATTTTTGCATTTTTTTTTTTTTCATATTCTTGATGAAGAGCCCTAATATACATAGGAATGACATAAATCACATAACAATTTTTTTTTTTAATTTCTTACAGAAAGCTGAAACTCCACCCAACAATCCATTGGTCATTGGTGTCAGACATATTTTTCTGATTGCTAGACTCACGAAGCTTCATCGACCCTCTTTTTCCCATTTCATTAAAAATCAATCTTTTCATGCTCCCATTAATATTCTCAAAATTCAATTTTTTCCAAGCCCCCCATATTTGATACAAAGAACATATGAAATGCTGAGAAGGTTTTTCAAACACCAAGGGAGTAGTAGAGTATTCTTTAATGTCAATTAAATCTCCAGACTTTAACCATGATGAGAATTGCTTTTTCGTTTTTACAAATAAAATGCAGTTGTCACACGAATGATTTCATTATTAACTATCAATCTAAAATTATTACATTATTTTCTAATAGAGATGTCATATTAATCAAATAAAATGTATACTTTAAAAAGAAAATGGATATTAAGAAATTTTTATCCCAGTACTTTTCAAGCCATTTTTTATTGGCTATTTGTTACATCATGTTGATGGATGGAGCTTCACCTTTCAACAAGAAGCAAATTAGAAATAATTTGTTACATCACTCCATATGACACAAACTAATAACCTGATAAAATTCTTACAAAAATCATAAGGCCTTAAAGAGGGAAGGGGGTGTTTAACCCCCCTCTGGATCCTCCACTGCACTGGTGTAGCTATTCTTCTAATCATATAAGTGGACAATCTTTAGCCTACATCCACAAAAGTGGAGGTAGGGTATGTTCATCTTCTTCTCTACCGAGGTTATGGTGTAGCATACTTGAATAACCATTAAGTTTTATTGAACTCAGACCAAAACTGTATAACTCCAAGATAAAGCGTTTTGAAAAATTGTTTACAGATGGACAGATAGAAAGCTTGCATCATTGGATTTCATAGATTAGAACATCCTAGACTATTATTAAAATGATATTGTCCTTCAAACCTGGTTTAATGATAGAATTTGTTATAATATAATATAATAATATATAATAATAATAATAAATAATTTCTATAGCACCCTATATAATAAAACTATAACCCTAAGGCGCTTTACATAAAATGTACATAAAACATTACACAGATTGCTTTAAAAATAAAATTAGCCTAATATTGAAACTACTGAAAAAAAAATACGGTTGATTAAAAGTTAGTAGTAAAAATATTTTTAAAAATCACAAAAAAAGAAGATAAATCTAAAAAGTTAATCAAAAGCTAATTTATAAAAATAGGTCTTCAGTTGTCTTTTAAAACACTGAATGGATTTGGCTTGTCGAATGAAAAAAAAAAAAAAAACTTCTACATGAGAATTTGTTCCATTTGTTAGCAATGTACATGTAGCAAAATAAAGAGGGCAGATCACCCTAATCTACACTTTTACTACAAATAATCCAGAGAGTTCCAAATGTCAACATGGCATGTAATTTCAAAGCCAGAAAAAACATTGAGAAGATGAGTTGAATTTTTGTCTTAATATGGATCATTTTTTTTATGGTAAAAGGCATAAACAAGCTTAAAAGGGTTTGTTGTGTTTAATTTGGCAGTTAGGCCATCCTTAAAAAAATGTTGGTTTGGAATTGCCACCTGGGGGTTTTCAGACCAAGAAGAGAGGGATTTTTTGTTTCAATTTTTTTTTTATTTATTTATTTTTTTGTTTACTTATTGAAGTTAAATTAAAAATTGATAAAAAATCTCAATGGACAGTACAGACTTTAATTTCTTTTCCTCTTTCTTTCATTTTATTAGTTATTTATTTGTTTTTTATTTATTTTTTTTTTAATTTTAAAATAAACACACACAAGGGTACTATAAATTACAAAACCCAACATTTAATAAAAGTCAAATTTCACTCAAACTTTGAATTTTTTATATATTTAAATAATTTTATCAGTCTATTTCATGGGATTTCTCTATGGAATCTCTTATAATTTCTTTAGAAGAGTTGGGTTGTTTTGTGGAAAAGGGGGAGGGGGTGTTTTAATGTGATATAGTGTGTTTACCATGCTGAATTAATTTTAAATGTTACATTCAAAGACTTGTCAAACTGACGGACAACATTTATTTCATCTTCAATGTCGGGACAAAATCTTTCTGATCCATGTAATTTGGATGATATAACTGAACTGCTATAAAGATCTATAATGATTTCAAATATGACGAACCTGTCCAATTCAATTGCAATCTCTGCCAGTATCTCTTTCCAGGTATCATGTTTACTAAAACTGTATATCCTTTTATTTATTTTTACTTCACCATTCATTTGTATGGTGATGCATAAAGGAATGCTCAACTCTTCAGCGCTTGTACGTTTTCCACCTCCAGCCTGGTCTGACATTTTTTTGGCTTTCATTTGTCAAGGATCTTCTAAATAATCTTCTATTATAAATACTATGAAGAAAGCATTTTATTGATCGGTGTTGTTAAATTAATGAAGAAATCTAACCCGATTTAAAAAGGCTATTTTGACGAGTGAACTAACTCCTAAAAACCGTAGACATTCCAAATGTCTCATGCGGTTTGAAGAGGCGGATCTTAAAATTAAGTGAGCAATGTGCTCGCCCCAACGGTCGCACCATCAACATATTAGAGATGTCAGAAAATACTACTTCACAAACAGAGTAGTTGACTTGTGGAATAGTTTACCAGACTCTGTCATAACAGGAAATACTGTACATCAATTTGAAAATACATCAGACCAATACCTGAATACTCAAATACGATTTTACACAGGATTACGGACCATTTACCGGAAAAGGAATAGTGGAAACGATCCAAAACATACCACGATGAGAAAGAGCTGCCTATAGAGCACCAAAAGTTGCTACAGGCAGAATCAACATACGGTAACATAATGTAAGGTAGAAAATTCGGATGCAATGAGTCATAGGAGAAAAAATTTTCAGGCTTCTATTTCTATAAGTGTCATGACATACTGCTTCAATGTTGGCCAACAATTTGTAATGGTGTATTTATTACTTATTAATATAAATACATCATACCAACCTTTACATGAAGGCCATTATTCCCACCAGGAAAATGTATTTAATTCTTGTCACGTCTCTTTGCTCTTCAATCGGAACTCTTCGATGTTTGGAGATTCATTAGGTGTCATGCAAGAAGTGCGATCTATAGTCTGCATCTTACTTGAAACCGAATTCATTATTCTGTTCAATCATTAAAAAACTTTGTTTTAAAAAAAGAAATGATATTGATTACTTAGAAGATAAATCACAAAATTTTGCAATACATAACGTTACAATTTTAGCATACACCACTACTGTAGTGCAAAATTTGACAGAATCGATATTTTTTATAGGGAATTAAGCCATTGAATCCCAAACCATTAATCCATAAGAGATTTATATCGCTTATCAGTTGGTAAATGAACCTTAAACCAGTTCTCTGCATCATTGAAAAAAATACGAGAAATTCATTGTGGTATTATCAGATGTTGATTTGGGATGTGAATTTATTTCTACAGGCATCAGTATTTCAGATCTTCGGTGAGTTTGGCCTTGGATCGTTCGACTATGCACATGCGGCTATGATGCATGCTATTCTATTGCAGAGCAGAAAAAATATGCTGGTACCATGGGACTACTTGAAACCCATGTCTTTGTTTGAGAATTCCATTGGTGTCTAACTGATTGTCAAATAAGTGAGAGGTCAACTGACTTGCAAAAATAGTTCACGTAGGCCCTAACTGGCTGCTAGTTAACAGCTATAGTTAATCAGTTAATGGACACTCTCTATTGAAGCAGTCAACTAACAAATCGTCAATTATTTACTCAAGTCGTCGTGTTTGTAACATACACTTGTACAAAAGTATTTCTTAAGAAACCATCAAACACAGTATATCATTTGATCATATTGTCATGCTCTCAAAGGCCCTTGATTGGTAAATAAATGCATGTATATATATATATATATATATATATATATATATATATATATACACACAGTGTATTTATAGACTATAGTAAATCAGTTTCTTTTAAAACATACACCTAAAGCAAACCAGATAGAAAGTGATTACTCTAGTCAAAACTTTAAGAATTCCCACATCAATTTTTCTACAAGCAATAAAATTTTCTCTTAATGAGAAATCACCCGCTTTTTCTTGATTGTTTTAAATATTCAAAGAGCACACAACAATTAAATTATGAAAGCTTCATTTTTATGATTTATAATTTTATCTATGGTATATAAGGGATGGCTTGCACCTATTTAAGGAGGCCTATCCCCCCCACCACCACCACCACCACCCACCCACCCCCACCCCCACCCCCGCCTTAATTGTTTCAATTCCCCCGATAAAGTAAAATTCTTCGAGGAAAATTCTTCGGATTTTCTCCGGTGTAGCTTTAGACTGAACTCAATCAAAGATCCAAAACTTTTACATATTTAAAATTTGAACTAGAAACGTTATTTATGAAAAATATTTCATTCTTGTTTAAAAAAATTTATTTATGAGGGGAAGTGTAAGTGTGAGAGAATGTTAACAAAAATTGCATTATGTAACTTGATGTATTTTTCTTTGAACAGTTGAAATAAAAAAAAAAAATCTCAGCTGAGAACAATATGAAACCTTTCAACTTGGGGAGGGGGGTCAATATCGTACGTGCTAAATAAGATATTGAATAATAAATAAATTATATGTATAATAAAAAAAAAACGAGTAAATAATAAACAAAGTAAAAAAAAAAGAAAAATTAGAATAAATGTTCAAAACTGTAACCCCTAAATTGATGTTAGAAAGCAAATGTTTATTAAAGGCATACATTTAAAAATATATAGGTTTTTTTTTTCTATAAAAAATGACTGGGATGTATACTGGGTAGAATGGACTGCTTATATGGCATAGATGGGAAGGAGAGTGCATGTCTGAAGAAATATATGTTAATTTAAATTATTGAGAAATATTGTCTTTGAATGCAAAGTAAGAAGATTGTAGAGAGATCGACCGTGTTTACCTTCTTCTCAAGGGGTAAGTAAAATATGCCGGTTAGGGGTAACTTGCGGTGTCTTACATAGCAGGACTTGCACACTATGAATTCTCCTTAGATTCAGAAATATATTTACACCTGAATCAAAAATCGCTATTTTCCTAGATTAATTTAATTACTTCTAAATAAAATTAAAAATAAAGTTTATTTTCTTCTCTCCAAGCTTCTGCCATCCATTGTCTGGATTCACTCCAAGGAATATCAGTGTTTAGCGTTTATCACTTTTAATGAGCATGATGAGTTCAGCCTAAAGCTAAAGCGGCAAGGAATTCTTGGGATGCTAAAATAATATTTTTCACAACCTCTTAACTGCTTATTTAAATCCCTACCCATTTCAAGCGAAACATACAATGCATCTTTAGATTTTTAATATAATTTTTAATGCTCACTGGAATTTGTTCCAAGTATAACTTTCTTATATAAATATTTGAAACAAACTAGAAACACGACAGATTTTTGAGTATAATTGTACAATTAAATATAACATCTTGTACTAGCAGGACAATACTAGCAATAAAACACATATATATTGGGTAGTATCATTTATTTTTGTAGTCATTGACTTTGTAATTGCAAATATGAACATGATGAACAGATAAAGGCAAAAATGTTATTTTCTACCCCAAGGGTAAATATTATAGTCTTGCTACTTGGCTGTCATAAAACACCAGATGCTAGGACTTAATTAGCATAAACATTATGTAAAAAAAAGTGTTATCAACAAAACAAATCTGTTGATTAAGTCTTTAAAAATTCTTACTAATTTGAAAAACACGTCGAAGCATGCTGCAGTGTATGAACACAATCTTCGCTTTGTAGAAACGGATTATAGAATTGTTGCATTGCATTGTGGGAGCGTTTTTTTTTTAGGTCAAGTTTACAAATAGTTTTTTCAAGGAAGAAGAAAGAAGTAGATTAAAACGGAGATTTTCGGGTTTGAATTCTGTATAAGTGAGTCAGATATTGTGGTTTGCTGAAAAGGGAAAGAAAATCCAACACTATTATCACTGTTTGATCGTGTGATTTATGCGTTTTGATTTTGTTTTTCGATAATTCAACCATCAATGGAGGATTTGGAGATCTGTGATTTTCATGAAATGAAAGTTGAAAATTTCTCATCAAGCGAAAGAGACTCACAGAAGAGGATTTCTTTTTATTCACACCCTAAAAGTTTTCTCAAAAACTTTAGACTTCCGAGTCGTTCCGTAACCTTGTTTTAATTTGTTATTTCCCCTTTGTTTACGTTATACTTTATTTTTTGATATTAACACTCTACAATCAAAATGAAGCTCTTGGAAAATTCAAGATTTGAACAAATTAATAGTGCTCTTAACATGCAGCTGGAAACTTCCAGGATAGAAGGGAGGTATGACATATATATGGCTGATTTGGAGGTTTAGTTAACCTTCTTCATCATGTTCATACCATTGTTTCATTGGCAAGTTTCACTGTGTTCAGTGACAATGTGTTGATTTAGGTTACCCATTATGATAGGCAATCCCCATCTTTTAAAGTTGAATAGTATAATAATATTTCTACTAGTAGATATGTATGTAATATTAGATATATCATGTATATAATATAAAGAAAGCCCATTTTTACTTGCCAATGGATGTTCCCAATGGGAATGCAAAAATACAGTACCTGGCCATAAGTGAGTCATAATTTTATTTTTCCACTATATATTTCATTGAAAAATGCACTTTTGGGAAATATTATTGTAGTGTTATGACTATTACCTGTTGCTTGTTTTTTTTACGACTAAAACACCATAAAATGTAGAATTCTTTGCAGTTTCTTCACATAATTTTAAAATAATTTTATTTAGTACGTAGGTTTTGTGGTGATATCACCCGTCAACTGCAAAATAAAAATTTTAAGACTTTAATTTTTTAAGAAATCATAGTAATTTGAGGTTAGAAATTTTTGTCTCGGCAGTTTCATAAATTATTCTCAGTGATTAGGGGCTGGTGATTAGTGCATATTTTGTTTTGATCTGCATGATTCATTGAAAAAAATCATGGAAATTGGGCTAAAATTGAGCTCACAGTAAGATTTTATAAATTTAAAATAGATTTTTCAATGAAATATATAGTGTGAAAATGCAATAATTATTATGATTTATGACTCATGGCCATATACTACATAGGTTGAACTGAAACATCACAATAAGTTCACTTAATAAAAGTAACAATTTGTATCAAACATCAGCATGATTATGTTTACAAAAAATAGCCAGTTTATTTGAGAAAAAAATTATAATAATATCAGGGTTCCAAATTCACTACATACAACTCGCAAAATGCGAGTTAGAATATCCAAATTGCGAGATAAAAATTTTGTTACTCGCACAAAAAAATGTGAGTTGATTTTTTTTCAATGTAAATTTTTCCCGGGAAAAAAATATCCATTTCAATCCAGTTTTAATCTTTCTCTTTTTAGTTACTGTTTATATCCGTCATTTTAAAATGAACGACCATGTGCCATGTCTGATGATCATGTCGAAAATTACAAAGTATTTTAGAAGATGGATAGATGGCCGCATTGGCATTTTTTAAAAAAAAAAAATTCATTTTAAAATTGAGAGTTGTCTTTTGAAATTGCGAGTTCATTTTTTTGGTACTCGGAATTATTTGCAAGTTGGAATTTTAGGGAGTTTCTACCCCTGAATATGCTCAAATTACAGGCACTAATTTCCCTCTTAGTATGAATAATAATAACACAATTTGGGAAACTTTTAATTTATTACAGAGACAAGTGCCCAAATCTAATAGGAGACTATAGTATATATACATATAAATAATAAAATACAACAGTAATTTAAAACTTTATAAAAGCACCGTAATCATGATAATGTTACATGTATGTTGGTATTAAGATAATGTGTATTTAAATTGTGTTTTACCTCATACATGTTTTAATATTTCTTTTTCAGAATTGAGAGCTACTCTTGCAAGATGGCTGGAAACGATAAGAAGCTTTTTAAGCTGATCAGTCAGGAGGGGGGTGTAGGACCACTGGACCTCCAAGCTCTGTCCCCTCCCCAGACAGTTCTGTCCCACAGCCCAACCAAGTAGGCTTAACATTTCTTACAGAAAACACATGCTTTTAAAACCATTAAAAACTAATAAACTTATCTAAAGCAGTCTAAGATTTCATGTTTAAATTTTCATATTGCACATACATTTACAAGTATTGTTTAATAGAGAAAGACTTTAAAATAGAAACTTTTGATTTACAAAGCTGATAAGGACTGTGATGGATTATATGATACAAATTCATACAAGTACTCTGGTAGTAGACAAAACCAGTATTTTTAAAATGGGGAGAATACAAAGTGACCAGGAAATACATTAACCAAACAATCAATGTTTACGTGACTATTAGCAACTGCAAGGACACATCCTATGAGTCTAGTTATTGATGTAGATGGCAATTGTCCAGATCTAATAGAGAAACGAGAGAACATAATGAGATAAATATGTACATGCATGAAATTAGCAGATTAACTATTATTTTTAACATAATTCACTTAATAACATGAGAGCTGATGTAATATAGTACACTGTTTTGTAGCTACAGTTAGAGTTTTGATGTAATTCACTTAATTACATGTGACCTGATGTAATATATTACACTGTTTTGTAGGCCCTACAGTAAGAGTTTTGGCTCTGTGGAGAGTGAAGGATACCTGTGTGACACCATTCCCACCAAAACATTATTCTATCTGATTTCTACCCTGAATGCCTCCTTCAATCCAGATTATGACTTCAGCAATGCCAAGAGTGAGGAATTTAGCAAGGAGCCAAGCATCGAAGTGAGTTGTCCATGTTTTTCATGACCCAAAAACACAACTAAATAGAGGCGATTTCCCCAGGAAGTGTGGTTATTTTTTCCCAATAAACTATATTTTTCCAATCGTTTTTTAGATTTCACTGTAATTAAAGTTTTCCCCAAAATGGATGGAAAAAGGTGCTTATAAAATTGTAAAAAATCTATTAAACATGTTAAATATGCATAAATGTCATTTGTTTTCTACAGTAAATTTTTGCAAGAAATTATGTCTTTCAAGGAAACACATAGCAGCAGTGAATTTTTTTTATTTATCTTATGTTAAGCATTAATTCTTTGTTCTTTTTGTAGTGGGTAGTAAACACAGTGGACACAGAACTGAACGCTGCTGCTGGAGAATTATTCGCTGGGTTGAAACAAACTCTGTGGGCAGCAATTGATGAGGAAATCAATCTCCAGGATTGTGAAATCTACAGGTAAATAATACATGTACTTGCTAACTTGATGAACATTGTATGCAATTTTATTTCAACTTAATGCATATTTTGGCACCTTTGCGCTGCCTGTAGCACACTTAATCATAAACACAGAAAAAAATATCAATTCCAGCACATAATGTACATTATCTACATATTATGTTGAATGTGAACAAAAACACTATTTTATTAAAGCACCAATTGGTCAATGTTTGAAAGGTGCACTAAATTTTGAATTGAATACAATTTTTAAAAAATTGTACTAATATCACTTAAATTTAGATGATGAGTGTAGAGTACTCTTTAAAGAAGGATTGATCTTTCCAAAGAAAAGGGACCTTGAAACTACTTTTTTTCCAGAAATGTATACATGTTATATTGTATCACATGTACCAGTATTTTGGTTTTAGTAAATAAATTGAACTTGGAACATGAAACAGTTGCAGCTTATTAGCCACCTGAGCCAAAGACTCAAGTGAGCTTTTCTGATCGAAATTTGTCTGTCATTGTTGTTAATTTTTCACATTTTTCATCTTCTTCTCCAGAACCACTGGGCCAATTGCAACCAAACTTGCCACAAATTATCCTTGGATAAAGGGGATTCAGATTTATTCAAATGAAGGTCACATCTTCTTTCAAGGGGAGATAATTGAAAATTAGTGAAGATTTAATGTCATCTTTAAAAAATCTGATGAAGAACCACTCGGCCAGAAAAGATAATTACATGATGTAGATTCATTGTTCTTCTCATACTTGGGAGGGGGGTTGGGGGTTGGGGGCCACAATGGGTGATCAAACAGAGGTTAACAGGAATATATAGGAAAAATCTTCTTCTTAAGGACAACAAAGCTATGATTAGTCATATTTATGTGGAAGCATCCTCAGGTAGTGTAGATTCAAGTTTGATCAAATCTTGACCCCTGGGCGTAGGATGTGGCTAAAATGGACGGTCAATTGTTAACATAGGAATATATTGGAAAAATCTATAAAAATATTCTTCTAAAGAACAGCAAAGCCATGATTAGTCATATTTATATGGGAGCATTTTTAAGTAGTGTAGGTTCAAGTTTGTTTAAATTATGACCCTTGGGATAGGGTGAGGCTACAATTTGTGATCAAAGTTTTACATAAGAATATGGGGAAATCTCTGCTGATGAAGAATGCAGGGCCATAGTCACTCATGTGAGCTTTGTGGCCCTTGGTCCACTTGTCTTATAATGTGTTTCATTTCTAACAGCTACAATCCTGACCTGATCTCAGACCCATTTGGGGAAGAAGGCAGCATTTGGTCATTTAACTACTTTTTCTACAACAAGAAGCTCAAGAGAATTGTTTTCTTCACCTGCAGGGCATACAGGTATGTTGATACAATCTGCTAATTTACTAGAGGTTTTAGCTGATGTTGTGATTTATATCATATGTACGTTTTGCTGTGCACTCAAACTCATTATGATGTTGTATAGATAATACTCTCAGTACATCTTGAATTTTTTTTCTGTTTGTTTGGACATAATTTCCACAAGATGGCAGTTTGACTTTTGCCATAACTGGGCTGCTTGTCTTGTTTGGTGGCATTAAATTGCAGGTGGATGCTGGAAACAGCTCAGCTTTTCTATAGCTCTGTCTGTTTATCCCTCTTTCTGCAAACAGTTATAAAATACTGGTTATAAATATATACTTGTACTTTTTCATTTTGAGTTTTCTATACATGTAGCATTTCCTTGATTCTCAAATCCATTATTCATGGGGTAATTTTAAAGATGTGCAATTTCTCATAGGACAATTACTACAAAAATATTGGAGCAGTGTATTTTCTTGCTTAAATGTCTTTTAAAATGCTAGAATTCCAACTTTTTGAAAAAAGAGAAAGACAAAAACATACATCACAAACATTTGGTATACTTCCATGTTCACTGGCATAATTCTCTAGAATTGCACATATTAAAAGGCAAAAAACCAAACTGTCTGAAACAGAAGATAATGACTTGTCTACTGTTACATATGGCCCTTCCCCATCACTGTGGGTCCTGTGGCTGGGACATTTCTGACTGCCCCTATATGTTGTTTGATTGTAGTGTGTCCGCCCCCTATAATTGTGACTCCGGAATTGGCCAGGACAGTGAGATGTTTGATTATTCTGACAACATGGAGTTTTCCCAGGAGTGAGTGCCCACTTCGTCTGGTGGTTTGTGTGTATGTGTCTTTGTCCTGGAGTGGTCTTAATGTTTTGTCTCATCACCTTTTCTTTCTCTTTTCACCCCACTTTGAAAAAGTCTTCTTTGTATAAATATCTAAACATAAACTGCTATATATATATATATATATATATATATATATATATATATATATATATATATATATATATATATATATATATATATATATATATAAGATGAAAGAAAAAAAAACAGAGAAATTTTAATGTGCTTTATAAGAACAGAAATCATTTATTGTAAAAGAATTTTTTCATATAATAAGTCTTAATATTTATCTAATACATTTTTTTTCTAGGGACCTCTCGATGGAATGATGATAGTGCGACATACCTGTCCTGTTTTCTGAAGCACGAGAGTTGTCTGTCCTTTACTACCATTCTCATCACATTGAGGAGATTCAGTTGTGTTATTTTATTTTTATTTACTTGCCATGTAATTTAGAATTTTATTGCCTCCCTGTGTGGGTTGGGATGTTTTAATGTAAATTTATCAACATTTTTATGTTCTCTGTCATTATTTCTGTATTTTTATTCATTATCTCATACTGTATATATCTGTACTCAATCTTTTTTTTCCTTCCAACTTTGATTAAATGTAAATACTGGTGTTTTATTAGAAGAATTCTTGTATGTAAACAAGTAAATAAGGAAAGTTTGTTTGTTGTTGTTGCATTCAAATTTAATTTTTGTAGAACTATAGCTTTTATACTCGAATCTATTTTTTCTATTCTTAGCCATTTATTATTTTGTTTAGTTGTAGACAGTTTATCAGTTGTTGTTATTGTTGACTTTTTTTTTTTTTTTTGTACATACTCTCAGAAATCCAACTTCAGCATTCTTTCTGACTGAATGTAGAAAACAAGTGGGGTTAATAGTCTTAGATACTTAAGATAATTTTTAAGGAAATGAAGTACATTGCATACACATGATCAGCTACTTTCCGGTGATTGTGAGGGATACAAAGGCAGAAACAGCAGAAAGTTCTACAAAGTAGAAATTAAAGACTGCAATCTTCTTAAAAGTACCTACATAATTTAGTGGATGTTGCAAGGAGGACATTGTGCATGCCCCAGGCAACTGGTTGCTACAGGCCGCGTAAAGTGAAAGCTTTCAAGAAGTGTAAATGCATGTGGATTATTAGTAAAGGTACGACATATGACACTGAAGAGGCACCACAGTTAATGTTAGAGAAAATTCCATGATAGACACATATTGTGATATGAACACAGTGGAATGATCGGTTGTGGATAACAATGTCCACATAGGTGATTGTTTAAAGGTGTTAAAGAGGTGTATGCAAAACTTGTCAGAAACAAACAAAAATCAAGCAAGGAGTCTTGTGAAGAAGATACAAAACCCCACCCGTTCAACACAAAGTGATACCACGCTATGAAATATGAACCAGTAGTTTTCTGCATATTGAAGTTTAAATTCAGCTTTTATAACGTTGGATCTTGTTCTGAAAAGTGTTTTCTAGTGTTTGTACAGTTCACTCAACATTTACACCATGCAACATCAATCATTAAATTGTTTTTATTTCAAAGTATGAGACTCAGTGATGTTTGATTTCAAAAGGCAGGGGACTAATTTTATCTGGTAGCTTGTTTTAAAAAGAGAAGAGCACTTATCAAACAAAAGGTGACTATTGATCCAAGAGCTTACAAGCTTACAAGGTGCTAGGTATATATTATACACTACATGTATCATAAGAGGCATAGCCATAGAACTCCCAAGATCAAGTTATCATAACCTTTTTGGGGTTAACAAACCCTACCTCCAAGATGCATCACCTGACAAGGTTTGATGACTGTATGTTTGTACAGAGCAACATGTAAATATGCTGTTTCAAAACAGGTCAATGAGGCTTACTTTTAAGACATGGGCAGGTGCAAGATATCAGTTTAAACAACCTTTGAAAAAGATGAGCCACAAATTCCAAAAGTAGGTCTAAGTGACCTACATTTGGGTTATCACTCCCAGAAACCCTAAGATGCATCTACTGACAAAAATTGATAAACTACATCTTCAGAGGCTCAAGATATCAAGTTAACACAACTTGGAAAATAAATAGCTTTAAAATTTGAAAAATAGTTCAATACAAGTGGGGATTAACTGTATGAGCTTTAAATGTTTCTCTGTACAAGGGCATAGTCAGGACAGAAATTATACATTTTTCTGAAAATGACCTTAAACTTACCCAAGTGACTCTAGATTAAGATCATGACACCCCATTGGGTTATACCTAATCATTATATAATATGAAGTATAAACGTCCAATGTTTCTCCATTTGAAAGTTGCGGACCGACACAGATGAACACTAGTTCTGAAAGTGACCCTGAATTTGCCCAAATGACTATTGGCCAAGGTCACAATAACCCATAGATCATAAGCAGTTTCTGTGCAAATAATGAGCTCCAATGTTTCTCCACCATCCTTACAATTTTGTGTGGAGTTCTGAAATCCTCTGGCATTGTGAGGATGTTTCTCCATTAGAAAGTTATAGACTGGACAAATACATTAATGGTGTATTCAATTTCAAACAATTTGATAAAATTTTTTAGACTGGTACAGAAGTGCATCTGACTAACTTTTGCATTTGACTTTAACTATTATCAAAAAAAGCGTAATGTAGTTTAGATAGATATGATAGATTGAAGTGGTTGATTCACTTACAGCACATTTACTTTCTGTACCCAGATCATCCAGTCTGCCACAATCTGTCAATCACGATCAGATTCATTGTCTCTACTTTTATTGACAAATGGTATTTTTTATCTAAAGCAAGGAGAATTTTAGGGACAGGACATGTTTGGTGTTTATAATAGTTTTAAATACATGTATGTGCAACTTTGTAAATACATTCAACTACAAATGTATAGGCCTAGTAAAATCACTAAAATCGGGGGAGAAAAATTTCTTAGGGGGTCTACATGGTGGAGGTTTATACCATAAGTAATGTGTAAACATATGATTTCCATTAGATAATCATTTTTGTGATAATATTTTGTAAAAAGAAAGCAATTTCTTGAAGTTGGAGTCATAGGAATATTGAACCAGAAGTCTCTGACGAGACTGTAGCTCTACTGGTTTGTACTTATAACAAAGGAGTAGAAAAGTAGCACTTGGACTTTAAACTTTGCAACAGCAATACATAGAATAATGATTCTTGGTTTAGTCTCTTTTTGTGGCAAGATTTGTTGTAATCAGACCAAAACTGTAGGAGGTCGTAGCATTTTAGAAGAATTTTACAGAAATTTCAATTTTAGTAACCTTGGCAACATCATTCATCAAAATCAAAAACTGATACATAGAATTATGAAACTTAAGAGGCAGTCCACCAAAAAACCAGGCAATGGGTGGTACATCGCATGTCATGGATTTTAATTATTTTTTGCATGTAGACTAATTAAAGCAAGTGTTTACACATGGCAGCATCAGAATTTCTTTTAGTGTTCCTCTAGTCTTATTTTTGGTAAGTGTTTAATTTTAACTGCAAAAAGGTCAACATGATGTTTAAAAATTTCTGGACTACATTAATATCATTTTAAATTTAATATCAAATATTCGTCACATTCGATGTGCCGCCTATTAATACAATACTGCCTGGTTTTCTGGTTCACTGCCTCTTAATGTTATCTACTTGTGTGACAAGTTATATTGAAATCAGATCAAAACTGTAGAAGAAGCATTTTGAAAGTATTTCACAGAAATTTCTATTTTTAGTAACCATAGCAACACCGTTCATCGAAATCAAAAACTGATAAAGAGAATTATGTATCTTAGTGTATTTTACTTGTGTGCCAAGTAATACTGAAGTCAGACCAAAACTGTAGGAGGAGTAGCGTTTTGAAGATATTTCACAGATATTTCTATTTTTAGTAACCATGGCAACACTGTTCAAAGAAATCAAAAAACTGATACATAGAATTATGCATCTAAATGTAGTCTACTTGTGTGCCAAGTAACATTGAAATCAAACTAAAACTGTAGGAGGAGTAGCGTTTGTGAAAGTATTTCACAAATTTCTATTTTTAGTAACCATGGCAACACCGTTCATCAAAATCAAAAACTGATACACAGAATTAAGTATCTTAGTATAGTCTACTTATGTGCCAAGTTATATTGAAATCAGATCAAAACTGTATGAGAAGTAGTGTTTTGAAAACTTGTTTAAAGATGGTCAGACAGACAGCTAGACGGATGGGCGGCAGAAACCTAACTATATCGCATAAGCTCCTCTGGTTTCTGACCAGTAGAACTAAAAATGACCTAGATGGACTTATGCAGCATATTATTTCCTGTTGCATTTTGATTTGTTTGCCTAACAAAGTGCACATATTTAATAATAATTCACGCAAAATAATGATTATATATGGTTTAACAACATGTTTTTATTATATTTTGTGTATTATGGTTTGATTGACTAATTTTTAATTCTTCTTTATGGAAAGAATCAAGGATGTGTACATTTTCATAATTGTCAGCATTTGGGGTTATGTACTGCCAAGAGGAAATAGCAGAAAAATAAGTATGTTGTCATGTATCTCCATTGTCCCGGTACATCTTTATAATTGTCAGTTTTTGGCGTTTGGGGGTATACACTGCCGAGAGGTAATAGCAGAATTTCTAAAGTTCATGGTAAAGTTATATTTTTTAAAATGATGTTCCCAGTACATGTAATGCCATCTTTAACACAGTTGATTCATTTATTTAATTGAATAATTTATTGATTGATAATTTGTTCTCTAGGTTGACATTTAAGCTTACAATGAAGCGTATTGAAGTGGTAAAATTTTCAGTTTGAATGGAATGTTTTAGGCTTTCTTTAGAACGTTGATTGTCATATAATGACACACCTATTTCTTTAATTTTAAAGGTAAAAGCGGTCAAATGGTTCATTTGAATACCTGTGAAACAAGACCCAAACTTTCCATTCAAATGCAAAATTTTACCACTTCAATGCGATTCATTGTATTTATTGGAAAATAGGTCTATTGGAGCCATAAAAAAATGCTTTTTGAATATGAATGGGTCAAGTCTCCAATTTACATTAATGTTTAAAATGACGGAGAAATGAATGTAAATTCTATTTTATTTTTTAAGAAAATGGAGTCTGAACCCATTCTATATGAATATTGAACATTTCTGAAAAAATCACATGCTTCAACTAACTTGTTTGTTTAAACCATACTAACACTTCAGTTGTTAGAAGACTTTGTAGCATAGTGGTTAGTGATACCAATATGCATTACAGCTAGCTTCAGAGAGAGTTCGAATCAAGTTTCATGTCACATACATGTACCTTGTAAACAACTGGTAAATAAATAATCAATAATTAATTCAAGGAATTAAATGTGACAAAAGATGAAAATGACAACAAAATTTTTGAAAAATATAAATTTTCCTCGAGTGACGACTTTTAGAACTGAGAAATACCTTCTCTCAGAGTGGAGGAGTGTCCTTGCCTTGTATGCCTTTATTAGTTATCACTAAACCTATCATGCATAATTCTTAAAGATTAAAATGCAATACTTTCCTGTATGCGTAAATTATTTGAGATAAGAAATGCATACAATTATTTAGAATTTCTAATCAATGATAAATACATGTTTTAAAAGCAAATTTTCCTCCTGAATACCTGCATGCCATCTTTTGGGAAACCTCAAAAAATGTTAAATTTGAAAATCAGAATAAGTGTCATGGTTTCCTTCATTTCTTAACCTTGACAAGGGTTAGAATTGCTGGAAATCATTTGAAGACAAAGTTATTCTTTGTGAGTTGTATTCTTTATTTCATATATAAATTATGTATTAGAGATAATTATAATAAAATCAAGTCACATACAACATAGAGCAGAAATTCAGAATAGGTCAAGCAGAAACCCTAAAAGTGGACGGAAAATGAAACAATCAAACACTACATTAATAGAGGTTAAAAATCTTCAGTTGTGAAACAGAGCAGAATTAATACTGTTTCCTTTAAATAGAACAATTAATACTTAAGGACTTTACATGTAAAGTATTCCTTAAAATATGCCTGTATTCAAAGATTATCATACATATACCTGGATTAGTAGATTTTAAATGGCTGTGCTTTAATTCTGAAATTTATTTCATATGTCAAACTGACAGTACTTGTACTATTAATTCTGGCCATGACCTTTTGACTCCTAAAATCAATAGGCCAAATAAAAGTCCGACTTTCAACATCTGAATATGGTCAAGTAATCAACTCTGTTTATAACCTTAATAATAATAAGCATCTTCTTCTGTCCTACTTGCATCCCTGTATTAAGTATAACTGTATATCATCAAACACCTAACCTTATAGGATGCTTAAAATCTGAATTTGGTCTTGAATGTTTAATATCGAAAGCAATAGGCTTTTTACTCTAAACATCTTGATATAGATGAAAGAACTTAATTGACAAAAAGCTGCACCTTTTATTGATAGTATCTAAACACTGTCAAACCTACTATCTGCTGAACTTCAGATTTACAGATCTTTCTCTGGCAACAAAAAAAGTACACACTGTATAAAAGAATTCTTTATCAGCCAGGTGTTCTGGAAACACACAATGTCTTAGTTACTAATTATAAAGCTTTGATGAGATTGGAAAACAAATTGGTGGAGAATTTGTCACAAACATAATAAACCATTTTCCTTTTCCCACAAATATTCAAGAATGGTTTGCAATAAATAAGATGATGGGTGCATTTTCTTCACAGAAGCTGAGTTGATAATGCTGCATACTTGAACACCATGGACACCAAACATGTCTATAATGCATTACTAGCAAACCCTGCAAGCCTGGGAACAGAATATTGATGCAGCACAGCACTCTGTTTTTATATCACAATGCTCTTTCATCGGACCATGGAGACTTCAGGACTCTGATACATGCACATGTAAGCATCACAAAGCAGACGACGAATATGTTCTGGGAGTTCTTTATCGTCACCTCTACGCATGATCTCTTCCTGGTAGTCGTCCGACAGCCATTTTGATAAATCAGGACAGAGTTTGACCTCTGGGATATTGTATCCACTCTGTTCACCTAAAACATAAATGCTCACTGTCATTAAGTTACGAATTATAATATAGAATTTACACTTCATCATTCATTTTTATTTTAAATTCGTTCATACACTGACTTCAAAATCATTTCGATATCAAGTTCTGAAAGAAACTAATAGCAATTAAAAGACAATTTTACTTGCATTCATGCATTACATTCGAGTTTTACTAGAAATGAAATAATTAAGATACCCATTCGATCAGCCATTGAATCAAAGAAGATCCACTGGGCATCCTTGCCTTTCCCACACTTAACAAAGGACACATAATGACTGGTCTGGATACAGACAACGGCAAACAGTTCCATTTTCTCACGAGGTATGCTGGGATTCTGCTTCTGAATATTCTTCTGTTCACTATGAATGACTTTATAGTCCTGGGGTACAGTAATGGCCTGACATTTATGGTTTATCCTAACCTTGTGTTTGTGACTCTGTCAAAATTCACCGAAAGAGATTATAATTTATACGCACATTGATTACAAATATATGTATTTTTTTCTTTATAAGGAGTTATGGTTATATTCATGTACTGATATGCTATAAATCTTCATTCTAATTTTTTTAATTCCTGGCCACTTAATAACATAAATTACAACCTGTAACAGCAATAATGCTTGCACCAATTATGTGGCCTCTGTAATTTTAAAAACCCTGAGAAGTTTGAATACTACAGAACATTGATGGATATCTTACCATTTCTTTACAGCCTTCACAGAAAGCAATTGTGTTCAATCCTGCTCCATGCTGGTTGTAACACTCCTTACATTCAAATGCAGCCAGATCACCACATATTATACACTCCCTCGGAGCTGTAAAAACAACCCACACACATATTATACGCTCCCTTGGAGCTGTGAAAACAACCCATACACATATTAAACATTCCCCCGGAGCTGTAAAAACAACCCATACACATATTATACGCTCCCTTGGAGCTGTAAAAACAACCCATACACATATTATACATTCCCTCGGAGCTGTAAAAATTACCCATACACATATTATACACTCCCTGGCAGCTGTAAAAACAACCCATACACATATTATATACTCCCTGGGAGCTGTAAAAACAACCCATACACATATTATACACTCCCTCTGAGCTGCAAACTAGAAATATGTCCACAGGACATGAATGCCCCGCCCAGGGTGTATATAGGGTCAAAGGAAAGGTCAAGGTGAAAAAACATTGATGCAGTTGAATAGCTTACATCAGTATGTATCAGCACATGAAGTTTGACACTAATTTAAGAAAAGTGAGGTCAAGGTCAAAGGAAAGGTCAAGGTAAAAAATTGTTGATGCAATTGAAAAGGTTACATCAGTATGTATTAGCATATGAAGTTTGATAAAAATATTATGAATGGTTTCTTTAAAACTGAGCTAAACACTAATTTAAGAAAAGTGAGGTCAAGGTCAAAGGAAAGGTCAAGGTAAAAAAATATTGATGCAGTTGAATAGCTCTCATCAGTATGTATCAGCATATGAAGTTTGACACTAATTAAAGAAAAGTGGGGTCAAGGTCAAAGGAAAGATCAAGGTCAAAAATGTTGATGCAGTTGAATAGCTCTCATCAGTATGTATCAACATATGAAGTTTGATTAAACTATCTTGAATGGTATCTTTAAAACTGAGCTAAACACTAATTTAAGAAAAGTGAGGTCAAGGTCAAAGGAAAGGTCAAGGTCAAAAATTTTGATGCAGTTCAGAGCTCTCATCAGTATCTATCAGCATATGAAGTTTGATAAAAATATCTTGTATAGTTTCTTTGAAACTGAGCTTTGAAAGAGCTAAACGCAAAGTGTGACGGAAGGACAGATGGAAGGACAGAAGGACGGAAGACAGACATGACAAACACTATATGCCCCGGCCATATTCATGGCGGGGCATAAAAACAACCCATACACATACATGTATTATACACTCCCTCAGAGCTGTAAAAAACAACCCATACACGTATTATACACTCCCTCAGAGCTGTAAAAACAACCCATACACATATTATACACTCCCTCAGAGCTTTAAAAACAACCCATACACATATTATACACTCCCTCTGAGCGGTAAAAACAACCCATACACATATTATACACTCCCTCAGAGCTATAAAAAACAACCCATACACATATTATACACTCCCTTGGAGCTGTAAAAACAACCCATACACATATTATACATTCCTTGGAGCTGTAAAAACAACCCATACACATATTATACACTCCCTCAGAGCTGTAAAAAACAACCCATACACATATTATACACTCCCTGGAAGCTGTAAAAACAACCCATACACATATCATACACTCCCTCAAAGCTGTAAAAACAACCCATACACATATTATACACTCCCTCGGAGCTGTAAAAATTACCCATACACATATTATACACTCCCTCTGAGCTGTAAAAACAACCCATACACATATTATACACTCCCTCGGAGCTGTAAAAATTACCCATACACTTATTATACACTCCCTTGGAGCTGTAAAAACAACCCATGCACTTATTATACACTCCCTCGGAGCTGTAAAAATTACCCATACATCATATTATACTCTCCCTCTGAGCTGTAAAAACAACCCATACACATATTATACACTCCACTGGAGCTGTAAAAAACAACCCATATATCATGTTTCTGCCCAAGAATGAAAGAATTCCAAGCAAAATATCATTAATTTTACTACTAAACAATATATGAAAAGTTTAATCACGAGTTTTGTTTAATATATGTAGCTTTTATTGTGATTTAGCTTTGCTATAATGTCAAAAGTTAATGATATATGTGATATATGTGTCATTTGATGAAAATTTCAAAACATAGACTACTAAATTTCAAATAACTAACCATTCTGTAAGACATCAGTAATGTCCAACTCTAAGCTAGGAACAATACGACGGTACATCTTGTAATCTTTGCCAAATCGAGGCATCTGGAGAATCAAACATGGAGGTCTCTGAAAAAGTAATGAGTGTCAAATTCTGAAAATTTATCCCTTTTACCTAGTTAGGAAACACATTGTGTCAATAAAATTTAGAGCAAAGGGGAAAAAACATAGAAAAGGTTTTATAAATGTGAAGGTGAAACACTAGGCCTCGGTAGAAAGAGTTCTGTCTGGCCTTTGATGTATGACCTTGACCTGAAATAATGCTCTGACTTTGACCTACAACTTGGCCAAATACATCAATTTGTCTAAGCTTTGGTCAGAGGTAATATCAAGGGTTAAAAGTTGTGAACTAAATGCAATATGTCCAATAACATAAAAGAGATTTTTCAAATGAAGTCCAGAAAAATTAACTTTGTGCTAGATGAAGCAATTTTTGTGTCTGTTTCAAACCTCCTCTAGTTTCACTTTCATCTGAAGGAAGGATAATTCAAATAGTTGCTGAGTTGTAGGAAGCACTAATCTCTCATCCTTCTCCATAATCAGCTGATACAGAAATGAATGCTGGCTACCAGCCCCATTATCTGATCTGTAAAAGACACAAGAAATTAAAATAACCTTGTCTCAGGAGACTGTTTGCCCATGAAATATAATTATCCTCTAGATAAGAAATCATCCTTGCAAGCCAGTTTTCAATTTGATCTGGCTTATTTGTAGGAATGATAGTGCATAAAACTAGTGCTTACAATGATGGTATGAAATTTTAAAAGATAGTAAATGTACATATAAAGACAGTACAGTAACAGTGTGTAGCATGTATTTATGACCTATATAATACTGTATAATGCTATCTATCTTTCATTGCAATGCCAATCTGTTAAAATGCTATTCCCTCCTATTTTAATGGTATTCTGCCTGAATATAATACAGGTAATGCTATTTATGTCTTGATCTTATTTTATCTTGTCTTAAATTGTGCTTACTCTGCTTTTTTTCTTGAGCAAATTTACAGATTATTTATTTACCTTATATGTAAAAAAGGATCTGCTTTTGTTATCTGGTTCAAAAGTAAATTTAGAAACTCCTCTGGATCTAAAAAGAAAATAAAATAAATTATTTTTATGATTCACAGTGGTATATACATGACCCATTTCTTGAGGAATATGCAGATTGAATAAAAAATTGTGAAGATTTGAATGAATCATAATTCAAGAAAATGGCCTTAATGTTATTGTAAAAGTAAAGCTGTTGATACATAGATTCAGAATCTGTTTATTTAAAAACACCATGACAACCCCACCTTTTTCTTCACTCATCATGCCAGGAATATTTCCTAATTTATCAAGTAAATGACGTAATTTCATTACTTTATCAGCACGTACATAATTATGTCTGAAATTAAAAAAAAATCTTTATCAATCAACCCCTAAAATTAAAGATATTGCTACAAAATTATGCAAAAACATTAAAACATACTTACTTATAATTAAAGCATTTGTTTCTTATTATTATAGCACAAATATTCTTATAAAAATTGAAATAGAGAAAAAAAAGCAACCAAAAATTGTTTTGTTGTCAGGAAGAATAATTTTTTTCCTTCCACTCAACCATTTTCCTTCTCTCCATATTAAATAACTTACTTCCTTAGTGGATTAACAATGCCCTCTTTTATCACTTGTTTTACTTCATCATATTCATATAAGTCATCACTGCGTTTAGGTCTATACAAAATTCCATCAAATACTGTAGTAAAATAAAACATAGCAAGTAGTGTAGCGTCTAAGTAACAAGAGTTATGGTGACCCTGAATGCCTTTCTGTTTGCCACACACATCAAGTTCTATTTGTTTAATATCCAAAGAATCTGGTGGAGATATATTTCCCATGACGTCTGGCGTCTCCATGCTACCAAAATTATTTGAAACTCCACTATTACGACGAACACTGTCTACAAAACGTTTGTCCTTGCGACATTTATATAGAGGTACAAAAAAGGCTTTCTTTGGGGGACATGAAAAGAATCGATGCTTTCCAAAACTTCCATCTGTTCCTGCTGATATTTCCTCTTCCTATTTGAAATAAATACAATTTTGGAAAAAAAATCTTTTTCATTTGGAGAAAATGATTGAATGCAATATTTCTGAGTGTTTTTAAAATCTGATATAGTTCAAAAAAATTTCATCAAACTAAACAAACATTTAATCTGTATTTTTAATATCAGTTATCATAAAGTAAGTTAAATATTTTTATTTCATGAAATTATCAATGGAGCTCAAATGGTGCACAAATCATTAAATGACAAAAATCTTAGTACATGAATTTGACTAATAAATTACAAGTGGTTCTAATATTTACTATAAACAAAGTATCACTGTTTAAAAGTAACCCTACCATTTCCAGTCCTGCTATAGGTTTAACAGGTTCTTTCTGGTCAGGAAGATATCCCATCCATCGAATGACCCCATACAGAGGAGGGTTTGACATGACCTCCACCATTGACCCCACTTCAAGGTCAGGATCAGCTGGAAGCAATGATCGAGAGCTTGGGTTACTGCGCCGACTGTTTGGTTGTTCTAATGACTCAGACTTCATTTCACTTTGTTGATCTACACATGAAAGTTACAAAAACAAATATATTTTTTTACCAATAAAATACAGGTAAATTTTTTTATATATGTCTGTTACACTTTTATTAGGAATTAATTTAAGTCAAAAAGCTTATGATGCACATAATGATACAAATACCAGGTATTACTGTAGTTTCATTTATGCTGAACACCAATTTTGTTGTTTTTTATGGTAGAAATAGAGGATAGAATAAAAGGATCAAAGAACCACACATTTTCCTAATGATAGAACATGAATTACCATATTATCAACAGAAATGTATGGTACTTATTTGACTAAACCACAAAATATAAATCTCCATGAAAATTACCGTAACAAAACCACAGTTACTGTAGTTAGTTACGATAAGGTCTTGAAGTCCAAGGCAAGGTTTCACCAACTTTAATTTATAGAATATTGAGGCTGTGATATGAACTTTACAAATTTTACTTTTTTATTCTTCTGGATGTTTAATATATATTTCTGTTCCCTAAATGGGACCCCAACCTAGTCCTTATGTCCTTTCTTTCAACTTAACTTGAATCTACTGTTGATCACCTAATTTTCAAGAGATTTTTGTTTGGTATTTATAAACAAAACAAAATTTCCATGAATTTTGGTTATTGCTCTTTACAATCTTTTATAGCAGAATTATATGTGAGAATGAAATTTTCATGAGCAAGCAGTCTTGAATAATTATGCCAAAATAAAGTTTTCAGGAATAAAAAGTGATTTACAGTATATACCATGTAGGCTTAATTACATATTAATCATGACTAACTGTAGCAATTAATGCTCTCTTGAGAAGTTGAATTAAAAGATTTTTCCCTTTATAATCTCATGCAAAACTCTGACTCCCATTCTGACTCTAGGACCTCAGTTTGAGCAAATCTGTATTTACACCACATGAAGATGCTTTACTTCTTAATTCAGATTCAATTAAACTAATTTAGTTAAATGAAAAAAAACAAGCATCCTTATGTTGTGTAGATATGAATTTGTTTAAAGTCATGGTCCTCAGTCAGGGTCTGCCCACAAAGATCAGATTACTGTAAACATGTATACATAAATAAACCCATTTAAAATTTAGCACAATCGTCCTCTTTAGCTGATTAGCGCAGACATGAATTAGCACACTACAGTTTTAACAACACCATGTATAAGCTTTAATCATATATTAGCATGAACATAAATTAGCAGAAAGAAGCAGCATAAAAGGCACTAAATATTAATACCGCTATTGAGTACATTTACAATATTTCACACATGTAGGATGCATAAAAAATATTTTTTGAATTTTTTTTCTAAGGAATAGCATAGTGTCAATTTATCATCTTAAATTGCAATCATTTGAATTACATTCAAGTTTGTGTCATTCATTGTCTCTAGAGTCAGAATAGGGCCACGCTTGTCGTATAGGATTTTACAAAGGAATATATAAACTTTTTCAAGAACAACAAGGCTACAATCAATAATCACTGTAACGATATAGTACATTAAATTCACTGAAATGTTACAGTAGATTAAAATTCTATAAAACAAGTGCTATAAGTTTAGGGCAAAAATACTGGGTTCATTCTCAATCATTTGACAGGCTCAAGTGAAAAAATATGTGCCCATAATCTCCTGTTTTTCAATGTTATTCATGCACAAGATGGGTAAATAAACAGTAGAGTGCAAATGAAACTTATTGCCACCCAGTTACATAGTGGATGAAGTGTGTAGTTTGGATGATATTAAAAATTTGACCCCAAAAAGGTTGGGTGGAAAACATATAATGGAAATACATCCTAACAAAATGTGTATAAAGTGAATACAAGATCACTTCTAGACAAGAACTGAATAGACGAATGCAGTTAATCATCTTAGGTAACTATTATAAATTGACACTTACCTTGTGCCTTGGTGTATTCATACAATGGATTGGGCCCTCCCAAATCAGCAGCCTTATCCTCCTTCTTCTGCCTGACAGGAAGACCTGAGTCCTGTGGAGAGGGGGGTAACTTTTCCTTTAGGGGTGCCGGGGGAAGATGTACCTGGAGTTGATCTTTTGAGAGCACCTGTTGATAGGATGGAGTAGAGGCATTGCTGGAGTAACTTCCCCTCTCTTTGCTCTGTACAGGCTGTGACAAAACCTCTCTTTGGACTTGACTGTATCCTGCTGATGTATTCTGGTGACCAGTCCATGCTGAGTTGTATCCTGACACTGTACTCTGTTGACCAGTCCGAGACTGTGATGGTCGTGGGGAGTTGATTTGTTCCGATTCCTGCAGAAAACCATACTCTGGCTGATGTGGGTAATAAGAACTGGAGGACCCTGAAGCCTGGTTCATTTGCATGTATTCCTCCGCTTTCATTAAACCCATGATAGGTACTAATGATGCATGCTGAGCTTTAGCATAGAACAGTCTGTGATTTTTATATTTCCCTGTACCAGATCCAACAGGGTTGTCCTGTAAAATATTGAAAATAAACATAGTTATTTTTTATGATCTTGATGATAGACAAAAATGAACAGACAGATGGAAAGGCAATTCCTTTACACTCCAGTTACTTTTCTTACATTTTGATTTCTTGAGTCAATTTCTTGATATTTCTTGTTGCTCTTTTTAATGTTCTTTACAGTATATTTAGGACAACTTTGTGCAACAAATGGTTAAATTCTATTTTCAAATAAAATTGAACAGTTATCCTTTCAAATTTCTTTTTTACGACAACCACACACACATATCTAAAATTCATTCTGTACATTTTCAAATGCATAAACTTACGAATTCTACTCCAACTGTTATATCCCTCCTGTTGCTATCAGGGAGGATCCCAACCCACTTCACCTCCCCAAACTCTGGACCATTATCACTAATCCAGACAATACGATCCTTCTCCTTAAGATTGGAGTTTTCTATCATTTCTCTTTCCTCTCGATACATGGGTGAGTCATCATGAATTGGGATTGATCGGTCTATATACCGACGCTGATACGGAGCATCCTGGTCTCGACGCACTTTGTGTATAGCAGCGAAAATCCCACAGTTCTGTTCACAAGTGAAGAATCGCTTTTTTCTGAACACACCATCACAGGTTCCTTTGCCTTTGCTCTCCTGTAATAATTTGAATTTAGTTTAATACCCAATATTAAATATTGAAATCTACAAGAAATGAAATAAAATTGACTAGAAATATGTCCATAGGACATGAATGCCCCGCCAAGGGTATATTAGTAATGCAACATGAACATTTGTATTAGTGTATGAAATTTGATGAGAATATCTTGAATAGTTTCTTTAAAATTGAAATTGAAATCTAAAAAGTTGGATACAGATGATAAATTCTCACCAAATTATGTATAAGTGCATAAGCTTACATAAATATATCTTAAATGGTTTCTTTAAAATTAAGCAAAATGCAAATTTAAGAAAAGTGAGGTCAAGGTCACATGAAATTTCAAGGTCAAACGTTTTTGATGCAGTTGAATAGTTCTCACAAATGCATATCAGCATATTAAGTTTGATAAAAATATTTTGAATGGTTTATTTAAAACTGAGCTAAACATTAATTTAAAATAAATGAAGTTAAGGTCAAAGGAAAGGTCAAGGTCAAAAAATGTTGATGCAGTTGTAACATTTTGGGTTTTATAAATAAATATAAATAAATTCGCTGCCACCAATTGTAACGTGTAATTTTGCATCAACTCAGTACCTATGAGGCACGTTACAATAGTTGGGTTCGAAGGTACCTAGTTTAATAAAGAAAAGAAATATATATAAACAGTTGATACATATATATTTATTATAGCATCAGTACATATATTTATTATAGCATCAAAGACAATAAAGTTCAATAAATGTTTAAAATGTCTCTTCAATATTAAGTATACTGCCGAAATTCCACGGAGCTCGGTGTTCGGTGATACTAGGTGTTCTGTACTACTTCTCCATTTCAGGAGCTTCAAGATGTTCGGTGCTATCTGCTGCTACTACTAAGTATAACTATACAGGCACAATCAGGAACTCTGATACTGTAATCAGAACTATATCTGAAATCCAAATATCTATTTCTTAATAACAAAAAGTCCACCCCCCATCCTATGCTAGCATGTCATGCGTAGATAGGAAAGTTCTTGTGCTAATGCCAACCATCATTTATAACCTATGCAACTTAGAATGGTCTAATATATACTGCTCGGTGCTCGGGACTACTCGGTGCTCGGTGCAACCAGGTTCACGGTGCTACCCGGTGCTCGGTGCCGCCAGTGCCAAACTGCACCGTAAATTAAATTTAGCTAAATCTCAATAAAAACGGAATTAATCATTCTAAACTTGCACAGTCAATAATACTAAAATTTATTCTAATAATTTAAGAAACAAACTTTGGCTCAGAATCTCACACTGAGTAGTCAATATCTGAATACTTTAAACTAACGAAAATTCTCAAATATTTTCTAAAGAATTTACATTTTAATATTATACTATATCTTAATAGGCTAAGAAGGTTTTAACTTTTTCTAACTTATCTAAAATATGAATTTACCTTAAACTTTACTGGCACCGACCAACACCGACTTTTGCTTTATTTTTCTGGAGGAGATCTGACAACGCTGCTTCGAGTTTGCTGCTTTTATACTGTGACGCAGTGATGCAGCGACTACGTCATATGTAAAATGTAAAACTCCAAAAACAATACTTTTATCAATAAACTAGGATAAACCAACCTACTAATAATACTCCAAAAGATCTATTATATATATCTATAATTTTATAATTATTTTAAGCTTATCATTTCTAGAGTTATATATTCAGAAACTATTCGTCTGCTAACAATCCGGATATATTCATCTCTACCATAAAGTTTCCGCAATTACTGAATCTTATGCATTTCCAGTTGTCATATAACGAAATCCCGGTAATAAATAAATCTTTTAATGTTGAGTACTACAAGACTTCTAATTAATCATAATAAGTCTAAAGACACGAGAAAGGAACATATGCTTAAATATGCACTGAAGGTAAACGTAATCCACGTAATAAAAATTAAGCACAGACGTTTGTTGTACCAAGGGTAAACATGCATCTTAGTTCTATAGCGAAAACATAACTATGAAACATACATTCTAAACAACACATTAAAGGTTTGCTATGCAGGCGCAACACAGTTGAAAAGGTTACATCAGTATGTATTAGCATATGAAGTTTGATAAAAATATTATAAATAGTTTCTTTAAAACTGAATTAGACACAAATTGAGAAAAGTGAGGTCATGGTCAAAGGAAAGGCAGGGTTGTGGATAACCACTCGCCCACTCGCAAATGCGAGTAAAATTTGGGGTGGGCGACTAGATATTAAAAATCTGGTCGCCCACATGGCGAACGATTTTTTTACCGGAACATAATCACATTTCAGTTTTATTTTATGTACTTTCAGTTTTTTTAAGAAAACGCTCTACTAACTTAGATTATTTGTGTTGCGTACAAGCATATTACTCAAACATGTACCTGACTGAGATCAAAAATGGCGATTTATCGAAGCGGTTAAATCTCCGTTAAATCTGATGATATGAGAGCAAATGTTTGAGATTGTTCTAATAGAAATATTGTAACAATCGGCTATGGTTGTCACACTCGCCATTCGACTAGTTATTCACTGATAGAATTTGAATTACCATGTCAAATGCAGACAATAAAAGATCGGGATCAAACTTAATCACAGGTTGTAATTTATTATTTAATATGCCCCTTGTTAAAACCATAGATGCTTCAGTTGTATAAGTTAAGGTTAAATACTACAAAATGTAATGAACATATTATCGGATCAAAGTTTTTAGAAAAGAGAAAACGTGACAAAAATCCATATTCTGCGAACATATAGATACTACGAAAAAAAAAAAAAATTAGGATTTTTGTGTTCTTATTTTTAATTTACATATAATGAGGGCCCGTGGATCACATTGTGGGCCCGTAAAATTTGAAAAGTTAGGAGCCCACATGGCCCCTAAGGTTTCAAAAGTTAACCACTGTGATATCTGCAAAGGATAGAAAAATAAAGATTGACTGAATCTTGTACATGTAAAAGATGCTAATAAATGCCTTGCAATTGATGAAATTATTCTTATTTAACATTATTTAGAAAAATGTTAAGTATGACATTTTTTCCCAATTTCAACCAAATGTCGCTATTTTTTCCCAATTGGAAAGGCCCAGGCCCTTGTTTTTAAGACCTAAAAAAAACCCTGCCACAACCCTGAAAGGTCATGGTCAAAAAATATATGGTCATAAAATATCGATGCAGTTGAATAGCTTACATCAGTATGTATCAGCATATGACGTTTGACACTAATTAAGGAAAAGTGAGGTCAAGATCAAAGGAAAGGTCAAGGTCAAAAAATGTCGATGCTGTTGAATAGCTCTCATCAGTATGTATCGGCATATGAAGTTTGATAACACTATATTGAATGGTTTCTTTAAAACTGAGCTAAACACTAATTTAAGAAAAGTGAGGTCAAGGTCAAAAAATGTTGATGCAGTTGTATAGCTCACATCAGTATGTATCAAAATATGAAGTTTGATTACACTACATGTATCCTGAATGGTATTTTTAAAACTGAGCTTTGAACAGAGCTAAACGCAAAGTGTGACGGAAGGACAGATGGAAAGACGGAAGATGGACATGACAAACACTATATGCCCTGGCCATATTCATGGCGGGGCATAAAAATGATATTTTTTGAAATTCATGCCATATATATAACTTTGAGATTTTTACTCCAAAATCTTTGAATTTTGTAAGATTATCATCAATGACATGATCATATTGTCACAGTATTGTAAAAACCTTGTATGCCTTCTGGGCCCAAAATTGTACATGCATTACATTTGGCTGTGTATTTTATTAAGGACCTTTCGCAGAAAGCAGCTTCCATAGAAAGCAGCTTCCGCTAAATCTAGAACATCATAAAATGTCGTGATTAACTATATATTTATATCTCGCACATTTAGAACATGTAGAAAGGGCTAAATCAAATTGTCACTAGTTGAAAAATCAATTTCTGCCAAAGGTCAAACATGCTAAATGCAATACATTAACAGTATTTTCTCAGCCTTGTGGTATTCAATTGTATCTCCATAATGCATAATGTCATACATCAAAGTAGCCACAGGTCTACATTTATCTGGACAATAAAATCTATCACTGTCTCCTTTTTAAATCAGCTAGCTGTATTATTGTACTGTACTACTGTTATCATTATAATGTCATACATCACAGTAGCCACAGGTCTACATTTATCTGGACAATAAAATTGATGATTCAGCTAGCTGTATTACTGCACAGTTAACAACATCATCTTTCTGAGAATCACTAGAAATCAGGTAATACGAAAATAATATTAAATATTTACATTTCCAATGTCTTTGTCCGAGATAAAATTACAAATTGTAAAAATACTTTATTTCTACATAAATCTACTGGTTCATCGATAGGCGCGGTTAAAAAAAATCACGTGCAGGGCGGGACAAATAGAGACAGAAGCGGGGCTATTAGCACGGGAATTTGCAGAATCAGGAGCATGTAAATATAAGGAATAACTGTCAGATTTTTTGGATTCATGACGATGATCAATCGATTGGCTTGCGTGATAATTTTATGCATAAACGCCTTCGGCGTTTATGCAAATTATCACGCAAGCCACTCGATTGATCACATCATGAATCCAAAAAATAAGACAGTTATTCCTTAAATCAATATATGAAAATATTTTTCAAAGAAAGTAAGGTAGGGATTTTTAATCATTTGTTCCAGATGAAAACATATATACATCCTAAATCGAGGCAAAACAACGGTATTCCTTCATAATTGACTGAAACATTCCTGCACCACCCAGACTTAGTAGTACTTGGTAATTGACTGAAACATTCCTGCACCACCCAGACTTAGTGAATCCTTGGTAATTGACTAAAACATTCCTGCACCACCCAGACTTAGTGAATCCTTGGTACTTGCCTTCCTCATTTAATTCCAACCCAGGCCCCCTGAATCTCTAGTCAGGTGCTCTACCAGCTGAGCTATCTGGCCACCAGCGATCGAACCTCCCTCCTTAAAGGTCTTCAGCCCCCCAAGACACCAACCCAGGGGCCCGTTTCATCAAAGGCCGTACGCCCAGTCGTAGCGCTATGCCAGCATAAAGTCGGGACTGGCACAAAGATTTGTGTTTCATTAAATAGCGTAACTTTACACTGGACTAAAGTTAGGCCAAAATTTTACGGCTACTCATGGGTAGGCGTAAGTTCGGATGTAAACATAAAATAAAGCGACTTTACTGATTTGAAAACGATTTAGCAATTCTTTAAGGAGAATTACGGTTCTAAGAAGTCTTTTTAATACAAATGAAGCATAATTTAATATCACAAACTATGAAGATTTCGGGGAGTGGAAATGGGGGAGGGGGTACACCCACTCGGGGAAGTAGTTGACATCCAATATTTACATAATTACTTTAATAAATATCTTCGTAAAAGATAGGGATTCATTTTAACACTATCTCTTAAGTTTTGACAACCCTGCATATATACGCATTTGATTGTTGTATTTTGAGTATGAGGATGTATTGTAAATCCACTACACGGTAAACATTTTGTGTCATTCACTGAAAAGTAACCTAAAAATGTTTATTTTGAAAAAAAAGCTACTTTTCCCAACATATATTTATTTTTTTTTTTGGAAAAAAGTTATTTTACCACAAAAGCACAGTTATCTTCTATAGCTTTGCATGGTTAATACGTATAATTAAAAAAAAACCCAATTTATTAACTTATCTTAAAACCAAGTAGGATTTTTAAAAAAATTATCATGCTTGAAAACTCCATATCTTATTTAGTCCACGTTTACACGCATGGATTAAGAGGGGGTTCAGGGAGCTAGGGTCCAGTCCTCTTCGCGGCAATTTGCGGAGTTATTTATATACGTACAAATCGAAGATAATGTAAGTGTGAAATGAAACGACCTTGGACCACTGTTTAAGTTTTCAGTTAGTACGTTGGTAGGAAGACCAGGCATATTTATGAAGTTTAGGAATTGAAGGGAGCCCCCCCCCCCCCCCCGCAATAATATTTTCGGGTTTGGGAAAGAAAATTACGATATTTAGCTTGTCAATAAGTTTTTCAGATTTTCAGATGGAATTTTTGGTTACTGATGACAGTGCTCCCTCCCCCCTCTCCTTCCAAAAAAATCACGGACCCGCACCTGCCTCCAGAAAAAGTTGTTAACGTTCAAAAGACGAAAAAGATTCCAGTTGCTTGAAAGTCACTTTTTCCTGATATTGAATACAAATTAGAGAGGATTTTACCTAAGGGACAAGGGACAACAAAGTCACTCGGTAGATTCTGAGAATCAGCTTTGACTGTAATTTTACAATTATTACTCCCATGTAGGACAATATATTCATGTTGAAACAATGAATGATAAATTTCTGAAAATGTCAAAATGAATATCCATGGTACTTGCCTTTCTTTATCGGGAAAAATAAAAAGAATCCGCATTTTAAAAAAAGAAATACTACAATTTTTAGGAACAAACGGAATGGTGTACAGCTGTACAAGGTAATGTCATAGAAGAAATAAAAAAAAAGTCTTTATTTTTTCCTGATGATGCATATTTGTATTATTTTATCGATTCTTAATCATATGCCCAGTTACATATATTTACAAGTATATACAATTGTAACAGAATCTCTCTCTCTCTGTATCAAAATCGTGGGGGGGGGGGGGGGGGGCAAATATTCCAAAATAAATATTAATACATTTACAAGAACATTTATTTCGTTTCTTAGACCTTTAATTTTGGAGTTTAATCATACATGGTATGTTGTAAGTAGTTAATATTTTATAATAAGTAGATTTAAAATGCATGTTTTTTATAAGGTCCCTAAAAGTTCATGTAATTTTTCATTTAAGCTAATGTACATATGACCGTATTGTGTGCAATGTATGTAGAACAACACTATATGTTGAATTGTAGACAATGCGGACGTTCATGTTTTTTGCGCATGTGCATTGCAGTGTTGTCAAGGGCTTAGTCCTGAGACTAAGCGTATTGTTTACGACTAGTCTTACGCTACTTCGTGAAATGCAAATTACGCCCGACTAAATTTTGGCGTAAGCCCTGGAAGTACACCCAAGTTAGGTCTTAAATTTACGACTTTTGATGAAACGGGCCCCAGGCTCTTCCCTGAAAGGTCTTTCACATGTCACTTCCAAGACATGGCATGGCACCAAATGTAACAGGAGAGGAGAAAAATGTGACGGACCAGACCGGGATTTGAACCCAGGTCCCCCCCCCCCCTCCCCAAATTTCTAGTCAGTTGCTCTACCGAGCTATCTGGCCACCGGCGATTGAACCCATCTGACTGCCACACCTGATTGAAATATGTTACCCTGATCGAATTTTTTTTTTAATTAACACAACAAGAGCAATTTCAAGTCATTGAATTCAAAATCAAACATTTTTCTAGGAATCAAGTTACACCTAATTTACACATGCACATACCCCTAATAATTCAATCCCAAACTGAATTCCTTTCACCCCCGGTAGCTCGCCCTTGTACTTGATGATTCCTTTTAGATATGGTTGTCCTTTGACAGCCACAGTGACTGGGTCCTCTACTTGAAGTTGCGCCCCTTCCTTCAACCATTCCTGATCCTGGAATATAGACAGACGTTCTTGACAGACAGGGATGGGCTGTAGTAAGGCAAATTCTATTTTAGTTAGCTGACCAGTGTCCGTGGGCTGACATTCAATTTCAATGTTCTCTGGTTCAAGTGTTTCTAATATCCACGAGAGGGTGGTTCTCTGTTTATCGTAGCGCTCCTCCACCAACAGCAAGAGAGTTCCGGGTAACACGTCAACTTTTGAAGATGTCGTTCGTAGTATTCCTCTCTCTTTCTTCTTTCCTATTTTATCAGCAAGAAGAATATAGTAAACGTTGTCATTTTGGTCGGACATATCAATATTTAACAAAATACTTTCTATTTAGGCTTAGCTAAAACATGGCTGCCTCATTGGAAATTCCAAAGTGTGTTCCGAATGTCAAGGAAGTCCTTGTGGGAATTCCTTGCGTGAATGATCTAAAAATATCTGATAACGTAAAATCAGCTGGCTTCGGTCACCTTATTCATTGCTAATAAGCCGTAAAAATAAAAAAAATCAACCTGACAATATACCCATGCACGTGATAACCAGCGAAAGATTTAAATTATTTATAAATCTATGAATAGGCCTATAGGAATTTAAAGATTAGAAAAGATTTCAAAGGAACCCATATCCCATCCTTTTTATAAACATGATAAAACAGGGACGGAGATCATCTGTGTGTGTGTAGGGGGTTGGGGGTGTTTGCAGTGTTAAAAAAAAAATTATAACAGAATGTCCAAATAAATTGTAATAGAACAATTTTTCGCAAGGTTTTATTAATTGGCGTGCCACCCCCCCCCCCCCCTTTAAACCCGCCAGTGGAAAAACGTGCACAGATTGACATTTCTTGACATTTACTATAGACTTTTATCTGACTTTTCTTGACATGTTTCATTAGATTTTTATGGCCCCATAATCGAAGATTCGGTGGCATATAGTTCTTGCTCTGTCTGTCACTCTGTCTGTCTGTCCGCAAAAACTTTCACTTTGCCCATAACTTTTGATTGGTTGGAGCTATTGCTTTCATATTTCACATGTGTATTCCTTGTGACAAAGCCTTTCTTTGGGCACCAACATATGTGACCTTGGAGTTTGACCCACTTTTGCCAAATTTTACCAAACTTAACCTTGGTCATAACTTTTCAACGGTTGGAACTAGGGCTTTAATTCATATTTCACTTGTGTATTCCTTTTGATAAGATTTTTTCTGGGGTACAAATATTTTTTAACCTTTTGACCTTGGAGTTTGACCTACTTAAAAAACTTTAACCTTGGCAATAAGTTTTGAATGGTTGGAGCCAGGGCTTTCATATTATACATGCGTATTCCTTGTGACAAGATCTTCCCTTCTGTACCAACAATTTTGACCTTTTGACCTTGACTTGGAGTCTGACCGACTTTTGAAAAACTTAAACCTTGGCCATAACTTTTGGACAGTTGTTACTAGGGCTTTCATATTTCGTAGATGTATTCCATGTGACAAGACCTTCCCTTTTGACCAAAATTTTTACCCTTTTTCCTTGAACTTTGAGTTTGACTTAACTGTTTGAAAACTTCAACCTCCATAACATTTAAACGATTAGTTCTAAGACTTTCATATTTCACATGTGCATTCCTTGTGACAAGACCTTCGATCCCTAGGGTATCACCCATTTTGACCCTTTGACCTTGACCTTTGAGTGTGACCTACTTTTGAAATTTTGTTAACCTTTTTAACAGTGGACCATAACTTTTGAACAGTTGTTGCTAGGGCTTTCGTATTTCACATGCATATTCCTTGTGACAAGACCTTTCCTTAAGTACCATTAATTTTGACCTTGACCTTTGAGTTTGACCTACATTTGAAAAACATTGGGCATAACTTTTGAGCGGTTGGTGTTAGAGCTTTTATATTTCACAGGTGTATTCCTTGCGACAAGACCTTTCTTTGGGTGCCAACATTTTGATCTTTTGACCTTGACCTTGGAGTTTGACTTGAATTTGAGAACTTTAACCTTCGCCATGAGCAGTCATATAGGGACATCAGTGCTTCGTAAACACATCTTGTTATATTACGCATTTATTAATATATATATATATATATATATATATATATATATATATATAAGCAGTAAAAACCAGCAACACTGTATATCCTAAGTGTCGGATCTACTAAGTAGATACAAGGTCACAGATGGAAATTCATATAAAGCACTAAAAATGACCAACGACACGAACAATAAAAATTGTCAAATTTTCGGGACGACCTGTCCCTTCCTCAGGACAAAGAAAAACGTTAAAAAGTCATAAAAACAAAGGAAACAGAGAAACAAAAAGAAACAGAGAAACAAAAAACAAAAACTAAATTTAGAATTCATTCGAATTTTAATTCGTTTTCTATAAACAGCCGTGAAATAGCAAAAGAGAAAGTAAGGTGGTAGTTACAGTTAGCGGATCAAAGTTACTTGCAATTTTTAATGAAACTGACAACAAGCAATCGTTTAATTATTTGACAAAACGTCATTAGTGAACTACAGGCCCGTAGAACGCGGGTAGAACTCTCCCCACTTTTTTCGGAGTATAGTACTTTGCTATAGTAAAGTTTCATTTAGATGCCCCCGCCTCCCGCCACCATCACCACCACCACTTTTTGTTTCTGTAAGGTCGAGGACTAGCAAAATCCAGGATTAGAAAAAATGTACGAAAAAGTAAGAGAAAGGTACAACCCCCAACCAACCCAAAAACCACACGAAATAGGATTTTCAAGTATGGACAGACAAGTTTTTTTTCTTGTCAGATTTTTTCGGAGGTTGCACCCCCCTTCCACATTTAAAACCGTTGCCTACGGGCCTGAACTTTTCACTAAAAACTTGTTTAAGTGATACAGAAGAAATAAGTTGTGATTAAAAAACAAAATGTGCAAATTGTTTTCGTCAGTCCCCGATCTTAGTCTTGAAGGAAATTTCTTTAGCGTCATATGGCACCGAACCCGATGTCGAAAGCCACGAAAGTGGTGCATGATTTCTAACTAAGTAAAGTGTAAAGGCGTTCCAGAATTGCACGGAAAGTCTAGAAAGAACAAGTTTGGCGCGGTTTCTGACCTCTCTAGAGGCAATGAATTTGAAGATAAAGAAAGTAATCAAGCTCAAAAGTCCATTGAAACAATACAAATCGGGAGCAGAGCAAACACTGCATGAACTCTAAAAGCATCAGAGGTGCATGGGATCGAGTGCCATATAGGAGTAAGCATCCCCTGTCAACCGGTCACACCCGCCGTGTGCTCCTTGTCATGATCGGGCAAACGGAAAAATCCATAGAAATTTGGTGTGTAAATGATGGCCTAACAAATTAGTATGAAAAACTTCAGTCAGCATTCGTCTTAATGAGATCGACCATAGAAATTGCGAAATTTTGACTTCAAACGAGATTGTTGATATCATTGTTTCATCAACTTGTTTGTCACTAACTTGCCTCGTTTTAGAAATTGTTCGTATGTAGAGCATTCTCTTGCGTATCGAATCAACTGAGAGAATAACTGCAGAACTGTAGTGTCATGATTTTATATTTTAGTCTTTGACCATAACGCTACAGATCCCGTAATGTAGATAAAGTGCAATATGGGATGTATTTCGCCACTTTCCAGCATTGGTCGATCAACGACCTTTCATTAATTCCGAAATTCTAGACATATTCTATAACCAACCTGTATAATTCATCCACCTCCTAACCCTTCATAGTCGTCTCTACAGACCAATAAACTTGCTTGTTGTGAATTTGTTGTCGGGTGGCATAAAATTATGTGTCAGCGCGACAGCGTGTTGTGTATAGTTGCGTTAGCGTGACCGAATGTTTTGTGTTAGCGCGACGGCGTGTTGAATAAAATTGCGTTTGTGTGACGGCGTGTTGTGAACAACGCGCTAGCGCGTTGTAACGCAGTACATTTAAGGTGCCAAATGGAAACATCGGCGAACTTTTTAGATAGAAAATACATTCTTTACAAGGATGGGCGTTTCTTTTTAGGACTTTACTATTATCGGACAAATGCAATGTGGTTGAAAACTACATGTTGAGGACTATTTAGACTTGTCACGTGATGTGGCAGTCACGTGATTTTAGCAAATGAGGTCATCTATAAATTCTAATATTGCAAGGACATAACCAACTTAAAAATCTAAGTTTAACATATAATTATTTTCAACACTCTTTGTAGTTTGTGAAAAGTGCTGCGAACCTATATAGATTCTACTATCTAATTGCTAAAATTACATTTGTTAGTCCGTATGTTTAATATTTTGCTGGTCAAGTACATTAAATATAGATATAATTAATTCATTTGCAAGATTTCAACAGGTTCGCAGCACTTTTCAAATATCTTCATACTTCTTGAGTTTATGTGTAAAAGCTTGTCATAATTCATTTGAGGGTATGCCCTTGCAATATATCGATTTATTACGACCCTTCTATTACCCTTCAATGAATCTGCATACAAATATACGACAGTATCGCTTGTCTAGGGAATATGTACGGGAAGTATATGAATAAAATCATAAAAAAGACATCGCATCCAAGTTAATGGCCTCTTATATATCTACAATTTATATTTTATTTAATAACAAAATACATTTTTCATTGTATAAATATAACTTGATCCGCCTCTCACTGCATACAAACTGCGTCAAATTTTACGATATGACGTCACATTGACAAGTGCGTTGCGATCAGTGAATTGTTTAAATATTGCTGTGTGGGATTTAACTAACGACAATAATGCATGCACTACTTAATTAGTATTGATGTAGTTTAAATAAAGCTATTCAACAGTTTAAAATAGCAAATCATTTCATTTTATAGTAATTTAAAGAACTTATATTTTTGTGTGATGTCATAGTAAGCATTTCCCGTATAAATTAGGCCCCGCCTAAGTACAGATTCCGGGGGGAAAGCTGGGGTGGGCTGGGGGTGAAGGTCATAGTTTTCGTAGTTTTGCGATAAAAATGTTTATAATTTTCTACTTCGGAGATCCTGGGTTTTCTTGACTCTCTTGTGACAATACTTTAATGCTTATTTTTTCGGGCGATTTGGTGCATTGCATTAATCTTGTTATTATTTTTTCTTCGAATTGAAAAAAAATAACTCGATTACCATCGGGATCGTGATGACACATTTTCCAAACACGTAAACAAGTCAGCGTGACATCGGAAACTGACGGGAGAAATCAGGAATGGGAGGTTCAGAAAGCAAGGAATCTGCTCCCCCGCAATTATTTACCCAGGGGGATGTCTTGTGTATTCATTCAAAATTCGATAAGCTGTTTAAATCCACACATTCTTTTCAGGTAAATGGGGTACAGTGTTAAAAGGGAAAGGAAGGTGATGAACATCTGAA